CGATCCCAATTGGAATCGATCGCAATCAAGGGGATCCCGTCGGCAGCGTATTGGTCAGCTTTGCTCTGTAAGCCAGGGTACTGCTTCAGACTTCGAACTTTGGTGATGAAATGCTCTTGAATCCCATACTTGTTGTTCGATTTATATTGATAACGCTACAAATTATAAAAACACATACATATGAGATCGATCCCAGTGAGGCAAAATTTAACTTCCTGCAATAACCACATACCATAATAAAAGCTTCAACCAGCTCTTTTGTGTCCCGGCTATCGCACATTCGATACATAATTTGGAGCATGTTCTTGGGGTTGGCTGCTGCTCCAATCGAATTCTGATAGAGAAGAGAAGTCTTGTCCCGCGTATGATCTTCTCTGATGCCAAGATATCCTAACTGATGACCTTGATGCATTCCCGCATAAAATACAGCTCCGGCTGACCTACCATCAACTGGGATCGGTCCCATAGCTGGGGACCACACATACTTCTCACGGATTTCTTGGACGGAGTAGTCACTGACTGCGCCAATGTACACCACCTCGAGGTCTGGAGCTTTGTCTCTTTGCGCTTGCTGCGATGCTTTATTTCGATCTGCGAAGTCTGGTTTGTACTTGGGAGGATGTAAAACATTTACTTTCATGTGCTGTGCCGAATATGATGCGGCATTACATCTTCGTCCGCCTTCGTCAAAGTAATATCCAATTGTTGGTGCTCCTCCTGCAATTTAAAATAAAACAATGATATTGGTTGTACACATGGGTACGATCCCAAACAAATCTCGCAACCCTTACTTTTATTCAGCTTGGTGGGTGTAAATTTCGGTCCTGCTTCATTGACCCCCCACTCCGCCTCCTTTTTCAAAATGGACAAACGAATGTCATCCCGCAACCTTACATTAAGGCGCACACTCTCATAGAATTCCAACAAGTCCACTCTTGGTTGCTGCTGGTGAGGATGAACGGACAACTAGAGCAAAAGAATTCAAACCAATGAGATGATGTATTTCGATAAGTTTTTCAAATTAGTTTACTAACCTGTCCCCACTTGGGATGAGGTGTAATTTCCTCTGCTTCGAGTGACTCTTCTACTGGGAGCGCTCCCAAAGGAGACGCTGCTTGACCATGGAGGAGTTGAAGAGCTCCAGATGTCACTGTAGCCGAGATTGCTGCTTGTCGTTTTGGTGGTGGGAGTGGGGAAGACATCATTTGATCTTCATCCTCTTCCCTCCTACAAATTAAAAGATCAGCATTTACTTTTTCTGGGAACGCTCCCACTAATGTTATTGTGTCTAAGAAGTGCTTACTTCCGAGTCGACACCGACGGGTCTTGTGCTTGGGTTGTTTGTGGTTGAAAGACCGTCCTCGACGTCATCGTAGAAGAATCTTTATCAGTCCTGGAACATCACCAAATAAGTATAATTGTAGCAGGGATTATTATATGGGAGCGCTCCCATTGAAAAAGAGCAGGATTAATTGCACTTACTTGTGTGGGGTGGATGGAGGGAAAAAACTGTGAAGATTTGTTTTTTGGGTGGTTTTACTCGTCCACGCATTTCGAGGTTTCTTCGCCTTTTTTTGCTTATCCATTTTCTTAAGGTTCACTTTTTCAACAATCTCGATTGTTTGGGTGAGTGTTGTTTGTCTGCACGTGATGAAAATGACAAAGAAAGAAAATTCGAATATCCCTCTCTCCTTTTTCGCCGTGGGAAAGATCTCAGTGTGTTATAATTGGGGTGCGTGAGACGAATGCTCAGGCTGCCCCGTGTCACCCGCACTCCAGTCCCACTCTTGCCATTACAATCGTCGTCTATCAGTACAGTGGTGTGTTGTAAAAATTTATTTAAGTAATTGAAGTTGGAATGGAAATCCCCCCTCATCCCCCGGTTTGTGATAGGTGCTGTAGTGCCGGACGTGAAATTAATAAACATATTTGTATAATTATACAATATATTTTTAAAATTCTGTTTTAATCTTTATTTTTACAGATCGGCGGAATGATTGTCCTGTGGGACGTTTGGATTTTAATCCAGGAGTTGCAAAATACATCAAATGTACGTAAATTAACCAATTGTGATGATAATTATTGGGAACGATCCCATTTGAAAATCTTTGTTATTTTAAATATACATGTCATAAGCTTAATTTCCATTCCGAAAAATGTAATTTATAAGTAAAATGTGAGCACGTTATGTTTGTGAGACAGGCTGCGTAATGGATGGGTGGTAGGGGGAACGATTATGCTGTCAATCAACAAAAGCCTCCCCAAAAACATCGTTTCAATTATTAACTGCCCCATTTAAAGAAAAGCTTACATGAAATGAAATATTAACCGCAACCTCCGCCCCAATTAAAATATACGCAGGCTCCTGGCGAGAAGTAAAATGTTACTTTATAATTATCCGTCATTATATTTCCTTGTTCTCACGATGTTCTTACCTTCGAAAACTGGCATATCTACGGAAAAATTCATGTCGCTGAAGGCATCGGATTCATTTTCCAGCGTTCCACATGAAACCAAACGCAAAATAACATGTTTCGAGTTCCATTAAACATGATCATCCGGGTATGTTTGCAACAAGAAATTCTCAAACACCCAATTTCTCCAGCTATTAGTTCTTCTAACCTGTGTTGTTCTCGACCAACTTCAGATTCACATTTGACGGCTGTTTGTTTTTACTTTACAACTAATTACCTTGACTTACAACAACACTCGGCCAAACGTAAAAATACTTAATTCCCGTAAAAGTGTTCAAACTTTATTAGCTTTAGTTTCAATGAAATCCCCTGTTTTCGAATTAGTGAGTAATTCCTTTCCTTCCCGTGGTCAATGATGGGATCGATACTATTCTGAACTTGAACAGATCAAGAGATTCATTTTTTTGATAACATTTACGAAGGGGACATGCGTCTGATTGGAATCAGTTTAATATGTGTATCCTGACAGAGAGGGAGGCGATTAAACGTTATCAGCAATTATCTGGAAACAACATAATATGTATAAAAGTCAAGCATAATTGCACAGTGATAAGATGGAGACGATTGTTGTGCTGAGTTTCCTGCATGGAGATATTTAAATACATGTGTACAAATAGTATTCGCATGATCCGTGTTGTTGTCAGGTTTTTGTGGCAATGTGCCTTGGGAGATGTGGAAGAAGTCGTAATTGCAGCCTACATTAACATAATGGACTTCGAATGCCGCCGACAACCATTTGCATACAAATAATCAGCATGACGCCTATTCATTTATTATTACGTTTACCATTTCCTTCCTTGTTTACCCAGATGCCACACTAACCACTCTATTAACATATGTACACACACATTTAACACACTACATTACATTGACAATACAGATACATTTATACTCATTGCTTAAAAACAAATGTGTTGCGTATTCCATATCTTGAGCTCTAATTACCTTCATTAACTTCATTGGTGGTACTAAATACATTAAGCAACTCTATTGTCTCTCTTTTGCTCCGTTGGTCATACATTCGTACACATTTGCATTACATGCATGCATACAAGCGTTGTAAAGATTTCGACTCTTGTGTCCCAACAACTAAAACACCCAAAGTACACATTATTTACCATGTCGTCCTTATCCTTGTTGTACATATAAAGAGTATTTACGTACATATCTTTATATATACACGTGTATTCACTACTATCTGGCTGTCAATAATAAATAGCTAGCAGTAGTTGTGGAGGATCCTCTAATTCTATTCGTCATCCATATTCATGCCTCGAAAAACAATTATTTCCCAATTAACAATTCTGTAAACGACCAACTGACGATACTTTCAAAATTGGGAGTCGTTACACAAACTCTAAAAATATTTAGAGTAGCTTTGTTGACTTGTCAGCCAGCTCCATGTATACAACTATTTACCAACGATGCTCCAATTGGGATAATACAATTGGTGTTTTGTTTTCACCAAACAACCACAAATGCCAGAAAGTCGTTGATGCAGTTTGGGCCATATCGTTATGCAAATCGACCAATTTCTCATTCAAAATATTCTGTTCACAGGTCCTATTCCAGGGTAATTTTGCGCTCCTTAATAGTATATACATACATACATACGCAGAGGTGGATACGACGGGGTGTTCTTGCTTGGGATTAGTTGTAATGGAGAGTAAACTAAATGAGAGCATTTACTAAAACTACTTACGACTACTACTCCTTCTACTCAAGTAAAAGCAGAGATGATGATTGCGATGATGATTGTGCTGTTATTGATATAATTAAGCAAGTTGTTCTTGGTAGCGTCTTTATTTGATGACGGCACTTTGCATTCATTGCTTTGCTATTTAATATTTCTGTATGGAAAAGACATTTAAAATAATCATACAAAAATAAGAAAATGATTTCTCTCTTGACATGACAGGTTTACTTGTGCAGCAAAAATGAGTTTTAATGGGAACAAGGGAGTAAATTTACTTGTTTTGTTCTCAGCTTTTGGGTTGATTGCATGGAATTAAAGCGGATCGAGATGGAGTCATATTTTAGCCAAATTCACAAGATAATTATACGTCACCAGTTTGGTGATACCAAAGTTATAATTATAATGAATATCTGATGACGCGAGTGAGTGGTTGCTGGTGGTGTTATTGGGAGAACGTCGCATTAAACACACATTTATACATACATACGTACAGAGGTACATGTGTATAAACGCAATTATAGTGTGACAATGTGCAGGTGAATTATTCCAACATTATTAATGGTTAGATCCTCCATGTGATGAAATTGCGACATGGCATTGCTGTTATTATTAAATATCCTACTTGTGATTAATCTTTGATGAAAGAGATTGTTAACTATTGATCTCTCTGACTGTATTACATAAATGTTAATCACCTTTGTTATTTATAGCAAAATTGTGTCACGTATCCAAGTGTTTGTCGAACTTCTTGTAAATATTCCTGTGTATGCATATGTATGTATGTTGACAAACAATAAGCTGCTAGAGTACAATGAAGACCACTTTAAAAGTAAATTGTCATTTGTCATTTTAATTAGTTTCATCTCCAATAACACTCGTCAAGTTCTGACATTTGTAAAAAAAGAGAGAAACAATTCATCAATGTTGCTCGAATTGCGGCTGCACAGGAAAAGCCATTGTTGCATTTACAAGTATGTTGTGTGTGTACCATTGCATTAATTGGTTCGTCAGGTCTCGTTTTTAACGGTCTGTCACCCAATTGTTCCATCAATCACCCGTCGTCTGCGTCCAAGTTTGTTTGCTTAAATTTCAGAAAATCAATTAGAGTGGGGCTGCTATGCAAAGTAATTTGATGAAATCCTATATACATAGCTGCCTCTTTGGGTAATTAGGTTGCAGTCGAGTGAAACAGAGCAAATTCCTGTGGACTGACAATTCCAAAGCGGAGTGCACATTTGTCAAGTGTGGACGTAATTTTTCAAAAGGTGACCAAATTTAGTGTTGGGAGAAGTTGATGGTGAGCTGAAATTGTGCAATGTTTAAGAAATCGTGACGAGGAAGATAAATGGAGTTGAAGTTGAGTTGAAGTCTTGATGACAACTTATGGATGGTCTCAATATCCACTCTACACGGCTCTACGGACGGCTCTCGAGGATGAGAATGTTGGATGATGTTGATGCTTCTTCACCATTCCGTCTCAGTGTCACTGTTAACAAGAAATATTGAGATAGCTGCCTGCCTGCCTGCTAAACTTCTCAAGGAGTGGTTGCCTTGATGCTCTTGTGCTCACTCTCAGATTGTTTTCTTCCATCCAGTCACCCAAGAAAACCACTCAACTTGCATGTTAATGAGCACCGACGATCTCCCTTTAAACTCACCCAGAATAAACAACCGACTTATCTTTCCCCCTGGTTCTTGTGGTTTCTCCGCTGGTGTTGGTCGTGGTGAGATCCTCGCATCAACGGCTCATCCGACCTGTTAAATTCAAAATTGCTTATCTAGTCTTATTACACCAACATCAATCCATACGTTTGTATGTAGCTCGTACATGATAAGTATGAACATGTACGTATGTAGATATTCTAAATTTATGTACACGTACTCGTCATAAGTATTACTCTCGTCGCAAATAGCTGCTTACCAGTTCAAAAGATAGATTATCCCACTTACTTTCATGTACATGAGTGTATTCCAGACACTCGTTGGAAATAGTAATAAGCTGCTTTTTGTTCATTCATTCATTCGTTATGCAAAAGTGTTATGGGGAGGACTAATTATTGGTTTAAAAACCAGTGCATATTGTCTTGATGACGTTTCCTTGTTTTTTAACTGGGTGCGGATATTTTTAGACATTGATAATCCTAGTTCCACAAACAACTTGTGCATAAAACTAATTCATTATAATTTAAGTTATCATTAATAACTTAAATGATCCAACACTGTGGTCAAAACACGGATGTGATAAACTTTTTACTGTCGCAGGCGCTGACCAACAAGCATGATGACTTATTTAATACGAATTTATGTATGTACATCCAGATCTACTAATATTCATACACTGTGGTGGTGTTCAGCTATTGGCTATTCATTTGGTAGGAATATAATGCAAGGGCAGCAAAAAGTTACTCACGTCGTGATAAATTTCGTTTACAGACGAGTAAAAATCACCAGCTACAAAGGCACAAGTCGTGTATAGTTAAGAAGTGCTAGTTTATGGATAAATGGTGAGCATATAAGTTTAACAAACATGAATTGTTGGAAGCTGTTTAACGTAACGTATCTCTTTAAGTAGCTAATTTGGTGGATGTTGAATGCCGTGTGAGATAATATTCATGGTTTCGTTGACTGGAGAATCAATGCTGCTGTTACAACAATAAGAACAGACATTTCGTGAGGGGAAAAGGGTTGCATGTGTGCTACCGGAAGTTGGTTAGTGTGAGACTTTGCATGTGAAATAATTGAATGATTCGCAATTCGTGAAACTGCACGCTATTACACAAACAATGTGACTACAATGTGTTTAAGTACATCACTATATTGTGTGTGTAGAAAAGGACACATTAATTTTATATGTGCTCCTCCAAGAAATTATCATTATTATCTAAATACATATGCGCTTCTCTATGTTTACCTTATTCATGCTGTTTTACCTTGAATTAATTCACGATATGCTCCTCTTAATTTTAATTTCGCTCATTTATGTATGCATCTCGTCCTGTCTGCGAGGAAGGAGGCAGTTTGCTACGCTAAATGAACAGCTTCTATTATTACGCCACCAAATATGTAGTCTGATGATATTATTCTAACATTTTACTCGTCGCATTTTATGTTCAAGTTTTGTCAGTGTTTGTGTATAAAGAAGGAAACAACATATTTCGGGTGGTGACTCCCGTGTCGTGATAACTCCGTATAATTTTATTGAAAGCCTGTTCCCTACAATTTACTACATTTTTCATACCCAAAACATACACACGTACATACATACGAGATACGTAAAGCATGTAAATTGTAAATACTTGCATGAGGCTGGCGTAGATATTTATTTATGCATATGTAGCTGAACTGTTTTACCAGTTTATTAACAACAGGGTCTTTGAGTTCAGGGTTCATTTTGGGACTGCTACTGTTCTTTGTTAACATGTGATATTATATTACTTACTATTAAGAGACCAACATTTTGTAATTCAGATTATTGTAGAGATCGCATCACGCAATAATAATTATTACGTGGCAATGTATGTTTAATCCATATTTATTTTCATTAGAATTGATATTAGGATGTGATAAAACGTGTGGAGATGGATAGTGAGTGGAACATATTTATACACGTATTGAGTACAGCGGAGTACACGGTAGAATGGTTGCCGGATTACTTATTTTCCCTCATCACATGCGTGCAACTTGTGTATGCCTTCATTTACACAACAATCCAGCGCAGACCCATTTCTAAGGTTTGGAACAAGCAAATGACCAGGAGTCAAACTGGTGGATAAAGAATTCATGTAAAAATCCTGAATGCGTGCATGCAATTGGAATCTTCTTCCTTATCTCCTGTTGCTGCTGCAAAGTTAACAATCTTTTCTGTTCTTATGAAGTTATTAGATTAGTCGAACTTCATGTCGTGAGTTCATATGTATTATTTTTATTTTTCAACAGCAGTGGCAACGCAACAGCATTATTTCGAAAGACTGGTTTACGTATATTTATGTACATGCAGTATATGTACATATTTATATGCATGTACTGTAGTAGGGGTAGTAGCAGTCGTGGGGCAACTGAATAACCTTGTTGTTTCGAAAGAGTTGAAATATTTTTTTTTTAATTTAAAGTTAAACAGCAAAGCTTTATTTTTATGCAACTTGTTAACCCTTTTAAAAAATACTTTCTGGGCTAGTGTAAGTTTTTCTTTTAAAATCATTTTGATTGTCTACCATCATCTAATTTTGAGCTTGCCTTCAGTCAGTGTAGTTAGTGAACCTCTGTTCTTTCACATTAACACTCAAACTGTCCAATTATTTTTATTATATTTAGATATGCATATTTTACGCAACGATTGATTTTCATATGCTCAATGAATATCTAAATATAATATTGGTTAATCAAAAAAAAGTTGTAGGTAGACACGCTTTTCCTGAAAAGGTTATCTTTAACAAAACTTAAACGAGTCAGTGAGCCAGAGATTTGTGTACGGAATTGATAAAGTCATGCGTACATATAAGCATTTATGTATGCAGTAAAGGGTGACATAATAGGTTGGTTGTGGACAATCAGGTAGGTGGGTAAGTAGGTAATATAATAATGAAATGAAAAGAACGGCGCCAAGACCTGAGGAGTAAAACGGCCGTAGAAGTAAATACTTTAGTCCTCCTTTATCCCTTAATTACATTCTGCGTCTAATGGAAGCCATACGATTTTATTGCCCCCTTCTTCCCCACATTTTCTTTGTCTCTAACACTTATCATTCGGCTCATCTAATTCACATCATTTGGTCAACCACTTTTAACTCAACTTTCATTTCAACTTGGGACCCTCCATCCATCCAGCCAGCCATCCACACCCAGTGGTAAAAGTAGGGCCTGTTGCTCTGAGTTCCTCTCATGCATTTATCCATATATTCGTAAGTAACCGTTTTCTGGAGACTTGGGTCTTCGCAACGCTGATGAGGGGCGAGATCATCTTGAAATATATCCTATTTCACTTTTCCTTCCTTCATCATGACCACTTAAAGCTGTCTTATTATTACATTATAATACAATACCACTTTTATTTGAGCAGTTAAATGAACCATGTTTAAACAATGAAACCCGACCCGGTTAAGTAGTATTACACACAAACAAGTTATTATTATCGGCGGACAAACTATTATTGTGTGGCTGCAGTGGTGGGGCAGACAGTGTTGATGGTTCTGGTTGATGATACTCTGATATTATGGATGGATAGGAGCGAAAGGTCATTTTCTTGGTAAAGTAGAAGACTGTGTGAATGCAGCAAAATGAGCAGAATGAAGTATATAAGCACTTAACTGCCTAATAGACCTCACCTCATCTAAAAGATTTTGATGATCTTGGCCACTTAAGAAAGACATGGTCGTCACCATTTTACTGGCATTCATCCACCGATTATTTCCTTGATGATGTTCATTCTGATCTCCTGTCTTTGTTGATGCAATTCAACTCGTCAACTCCGCTCCAGTCGTCCGATAGCATTCAAGAAACTTGTCGTTGTCGTCGTTGTTGAGAGTTCCCTGTTTTTTTTCTGGTGCTTATTTGGTTGCATGGCTGATGGTAATAGAGTTTGATGGATGTTTTAGAACCCAGAAGGTGAACTCTGAAACTGGAATGAAACCATTGCACATAAACAAACAAATAGTCGTTCATAGGATCACAAAACCGGAATCGTTTCAAGGCAAGTTTTAACAATGTAAGACGAAGTGTTTGAGATGTGGATAATTGATAAAAGATGGTAATAATTATATGTTCCTTAAAAACTCTACTTTCTATTAAACTTTTTTCTCTCTCTCGGAAGCATGGAATTGAAATTGGGTAGGTGTTTCTAAAATAGGGTCGTTCTTGTGAAACGATTAAGCATAATATGTATGTTTGCGTGTATGTACTTTACACGATACAGATGCATATGTTCACTAATGCTTAAATTGCAAAAGTCTGCCGTTTTGGCCAGAATTTATGGAACTGTCATGTCAGTCTGTCCGCCCAAGACATTTTAGCCCAGTGCAACATATCCGATCGACTTTTTGAAACATAAGTCCTTATCTAACATATTTAATAACATCTAAATAAATTGAGTTGAAAGATAATCAAAATCACCGTATGATATGCACCAAATTTTCAAAATATTGCAAAAATCAGAAATTTGCTTGTAGTATATCTAGACTGTAAAATGCTAGGTACAATAATGAATCAATAATTCGTCGTTACTTTGCGTGTCTGTAGGGAAACAGATGAAGTGAAAATGCAAAAATTTTCCGGACAGAGTTTAACAGCCAGGTGTTTCTCAGCAAAAAAGGAGTTGCTAATTCGGGGCCTGTGCACAAATTATAACAAATATTATGGAATTAACTGATGAACATGCATCCAGTTTTGCAAAGGGTGTTTGTCTGGCTCTGAACACGTTACCTAAGCTGCTGCTCGTTCATCACTAATGAGATTGAGTCCAGTTTGCAGATTTGTGTAGTTGATTGCTGCTGATGCTGAGCTGCGTCCATTCAATTAACATTTTGCATGATGAAGAGGATAGCGAAGAGGAATGGGAGTCATATACAAAGTTAATGCTCATAATGATGGTAATGATGATGGTTTTGTGGTTGTTATATTTATTAGCATTGTGAATAGTGTGCAGATGGGGAATAAAATAAGTTTTTAGTGGAATGTTGCGTGCGGCACTAAAGAAAAGACACTAAACAAGGTGATTACACATGGAAGGAAGAAGAACACCGAAGAAGCAAGGTTTCTTGGCCTACGGGCTTTGTAAAACATCTGCTAGAAAGACAACTTTTCTTCTTCATGGCTTCACCAACCATGTTATTTGGCTATGTCGTAGCCTGGCCTGGGTAGTGCTGGGGTGGTTAAAATATATCTTATTGTACTGCTCCTCAGAGTCGTCAGACATGGATCAAATCTGGGAAAGACATTACATTATTAATACACTGTGTATCCTCCTCTTGTCTCTGGTTTGTGTCATTTTGGCTTATCAGGTTCGAGATTTATTCCCAGAGCCAAGGATCACCCTTTGAAAAACAAACTATAAATCTAATAACTGTCCCCTCTTATCAACACCACTCATCTCATGACCCTATATGCGTTTATATTTATTAGTCGCCCCATCCATCCTCCTGACCAACCCTGCCTGCATCGAGCCAACTCTTGTCCAGTGACTGCAACTGTGTCGCCTTTCCTCATCTCACAATCTCAATCAATGTCCATGTCTATCCAACCCATCGTCTACTTCACACTAACCCTTCTTCCCCAGGAAAAACAATTCATCCTTTTGCTCCAACAAAACCTTCTATCCATGCACATACGTATATACGTATACAATATATGTACATATGCGTAGATATATAAATATGTGACAAATCGTGAGCAAAGCAGGCAATAAGTTGCTAAAGGCTACTTACACAAGCAGTGTCTTCTTATATTTGGTGGATACTCTCACTTATCTGCATCTGTATCCCTCTTCATAAAACTCCACCACACCGTTCATCTTATCTCTCATGATGGTGACTCTCGCCCTTCTTCTTCTTCTTGTTGTGTTTGTTGTTCTGCTTCTCGCATTTTATTAAACTCGAAACCAAACTTATCTGCTGCTGAACAAACTAAACCCATCGTGGCATGAAAGAACAAACACTCGTTACACTCGGTTTCGACTCAATTAATTTTCCAAACTCTGGAGAGAAATCAACTCGAGGATCTCGCATTGCCTGCAATTACATTTAGAAGCCATTCAACATTGACTGGAATGAGACAATGGAAAAAGTTTCTCTGTTCTCTGTCTGTCAAAATTATGATCATTTTGATGATACTGATGCTACCAACATTCGTGTTTTCTCTCTTTTTCTAGCACATTACAAGTTATCATTACAAAACAAACACCCAGTAGCAATATATACTTTATAAATTCCCCGAACTTCGTTTTATTATAAAAATACCAACTACGCTGAATCATCAAATTTGGTGGATGGGGCGGGTTGAGATTGAGATTGAGAGGGATGATAAAAAAAGAGTTGTATGCAAACAAATCATCTCAAACGACCAAAACGATACACCCACTGATCTTTCCTTTCATATTTATTATTTATTTTTGACACCTTGAATTAATTAAAACTTCAAATCTGAGCCGAGTTATCTTTTGGACTTTGTTGTCGAAACACAAAATACTTCGCTGTGCAGTTAGTGTGTAAAGGTAAAGCTTAACAAGCTTAATAGCTGTTGAGATCACCTTTTACCATCGTCACGTCAGTTAGTTGAGTCAGAAATTATTTACAGTCACCTGCTCAAAGTGAATTTAATTTTTAAACTTTTGACAGAGAATTGGAAAAAAAGTGAAGCTGGAAAATTATTTTTTAAACGGCCAAATCTGCAAAAAATAAATTGTTATCAAGAAAAACATTATCGACGATGGGGGTCAGTCAGTTTTTTAAACTGTTGGGTTTGAGAGAAGAGCGTCGACATATTTCTGAGTTTCCTGGATGGAGGATTGGACTTGATGGGACGGGCTTCTTCTGTCAGGGACTGTACTCCGCAGCTTCAAATCCAGGTTCTGACCCCACAGACGCCGTGGTAAATGGAATGGAGATTCTCCTGAAGAAAATGATTCGATATGGAGTGAAGCCGGTGTTGTTCCTGGACGGGGGCTATCTTCCAGCGAAGTCCACCACCCAGTTAAAACGGCGAAACGCCAGAAAACGAAGAGTGTTCCTCAAACTCCAATATTTTCGTCTGAAGAATGATTGGGACGGCTACAATAAATATTTGGCCAAGAGCAAGTCCCAATAACAACTCTCTGGTTATAGAGGAGATTTGGTCAAACTCGCGCAGAAGATGCAAGTCCCTTATCAAGTAGCACTTTATGAGATGGATTCGCAGGGAGTCTACTCCCTCCGAGAGAATGATATCGAAATGATCGCCACGTCCGATTCGGATTTCGCCGTGTATAACTGCAGAAACGTAGGCTTTTGTTTCAAATTTTTTTTTGCCGATTCGTCATTTTAAGTTTGTGAATAAAAAATGCAAGCATTTAATTAATTATGATTCTTTTTGTTTTTGTTCCGATTCAGATTTTATATGACATGGATGAGTTCGGATGGGGATATTATTATAATTCCCAAGAGGATATCCCTTTTAATTTGGGAATACCCGAGGATGAATATGATCCAGAGATGATATTGAAGATGGCGATCTTGAGAGGAAACGACTTTCATGGCGGGATCCCTGGAATTGGACCAAAAAAGTGCTTGGAAATAACCAAATCAGCTTCTGCGTTGGATATTGAGAGTGTGAGTAGACATTATTTTTAGATTCTGATAATTAATTTCCCAACTCCAGACGCCCAGAGTAGTCAATTTCAGATTCTGATACATATATTTTTTAAATTTCGTTGACTGATATTTTGTTGTTGTAATTATTTACGCAGCTCCTGCAAACTACTAAAGAAATCTTCCCAGCAATTTACTCCAAAATCCCTGATGTAGATGCACTTCGAGAGGGACTACTAAAAGCAGAGTATACATTTAAACATGCAACTGTATTTGATGCTACTACTGGACAACAGCTTTGTCTGACTCCTCCACCGACGCCCGAGCTGAAGCAGCAAATACAAGTATATGCCGGTCCATTTAAAGATGCAAATGCTGCTGCCATGATCTCTAAAGGACTCTTGCATCCTATTACGCATTGTGCAATCCCCAATATTAAGGATCCGTCTGCCCCAGATTCTGGATATGATTCTTCTTGTTTCTGGAATCCAGATTATAAGCGCCCTAGTGGATTCAAAATTTTCGAAAGGGGTCCCTTGAAGACTGCGGAGGAATTGGGACTGGATGATAGAGATTCTGCTCCGAGAAAGAAAAAGAAGAAGCAAAAGTATGAGTGTACCGTTAAAGACTGCACAAAATCATTCAAAACTTTTGGGAGTTTGAAGCAACATCTGATTGTCCATTCAGGGAAGCGTCACTTTGACTGCAGAATCTGTGGAAAAGCATTTAAACAGAAATCAGTCTTGGATAGGCACTCGGTCATTCATACCAAGGCCAAGCCATTCAAATGCAGTATCTGTCAGAAGAGATTCAGTTGGAGCGCAAACTATTTCTACCACCTTCGGCGTCATGAGGGAATCAAACCATTCCCTTGCAGATACTGCAACAAATCATTCTCGCAACGACAACATCTCACCGAGCACATTAACATCCACCTGGATCTCCGACCATTTGTATGCAACGAAGAAGGATGTGAAGCATTTGCACAATACGGGAACTTGTGGACGCATAAGAAGACTCATTTGGAGGATCGGCCTTTTACCTGCAGCATCTGCCAAGCTTCCTTTAAGCAAAAGGCTCACCTCGATTCCCATAATATTGCCAAACATAGAACACCTGGAGGTCACGTTTGCAGAATCTGCAATCTGGTAGTTGCATCCTCTGCGGAATTAAAGAAACACACACAAAGCCACAACCCACCCACATTCAAATGTTTATTCCCAGGGTGTGGGATGAAATTTAAGTACGCCAGCGCCCTCAAACGACACTCGGATAACCAGAAAAATCATGATTTCACCATGAAGCGCTTCAAGTGTTCAGAACCTGATGTGGATGAACCAGACGATGAATGCCCACGAAGATACAGCAGTCAGACAGCCCTCAATCTACACAAGAGGAATGATCATTAGCTAATTCAGCATGTTCTTATTCTTCTTATTTGTTTCAAACATCATCGTGTTTTCCAAGTTGCATGACCAGAGCAGTCACTAAACTAAAAACAGCTATCAACAATAAAACAACAAGATGTTACTTCACCTTAAAACCGACGACGGCGTATATATTTTTTTTTATCTCCTAGTCTCCCAACAATTGCTGGTCGTACTTATGCATCGTCAGAATGAGGCTGCTGGACCTTGTTATTTATAATCCGTAGTAATAATGACAACGTGGGGAGAAACAAGGACCTAAGTGTTCGTAATTTACAAAAATGCAGTTTGTTTGTGAAATGTACCGTCGTCCACAGTTTGTTATGTTTCGATACATATATGTACATACATACATATGTTGCTAATGAGGGAAATGACAGGTAGGAGAATGTGGTTAGTGTTTCTATTGTGAAATACCGTTAAATCATTTTAATTAGATACACGACAACCGACTTCCTGTCTTGAATCAAACAAAGTGTAATAAATAATTATAAAGGAATTTGTTTTGGCAGCTTCTCATAGTCGTAAGTATCTCGCAGGGATGTGCGTAGGGACCTCACAGAGGATAATATGGAACGGCTTGTGAATACATTTTTGGGGCCTTCATTCCTTGAGCTCTTAAGAGAAATGATGGATGAAGGAGACGAAGAATCCCATTTATGGTGGATTGTGCATTTGGACCCCATACAGACAAGCAGGCCAAAGTCATGAGTGTATGGCTGCTTCAGCATATAAGGTGGTTCTCCATCTCAAATAGACAAAGAAGAAAGCAAGATTTTGTTGGTAATAAGACACACACGCTTCCAAATAATTTTATTCAGCCAAGATCTGCACCTCCCCTGTAAAATATGAGACTGTCAGCTATCGTTTGCATTTGGTAGCGACTCAAGGCGTGAGAGCTGGACCCCAGCGTTATTATTATATTACAGATATATTATGGCTTAATAAAATAAGTGAAGCCAGCAATCACCTCTCTCTCTCCTGCTTTTTCAACCTCCAAAAACAAGTCAGCAGCAGCGAGCCGAATCACCATTACCAAATAGAGGAACAGCACTAGACGTACATAGAAGAGCAGCAATTCTAAACTAATATCTTGCTTGTTAAACAGTGAGAATATAGGTTTAATAGATATGTAAAGTAATGGAATAATGGGATGTTGAATTGGACGTGAAATAAAATAACGCAGCGTAAGTAATGTACATTCATTGCTTTGGGCCGAGATTAAGATAAATGAAGTTTTATTCTCAATTGTGCTGGTGGTGGGTACATGGAAGTAGGAGCTAGATGAGATGCCTGGCTGGCATGATGACTTCATTCATATAGCATTCATAAAGTGATACAGAAGAAGCTCGATCCTTTTTCTTGGCTCCTTCGTCCCGTGGTATCGTCCTGTTGACTAAATGCACTGCTTGACAAAGAGGCATGATTAATATATTTGGGAAGCCAGTCATGACAATTGTACAATAGACACTTTTATATTCTGCAGCCATCCTCCACACCTCAAGTTGGAGACCACCCTTGCTATTTTTCTTCATTATGCTTGGTGCCATACTCATTTGCAGCCATATACAAATACTAGTTTCCTTCCATTTCATTCTCCTTTGCTCTGCGGATGCTGCAGGCGTAGGAATAATTTCCAATAAATAGACAACCCATAAAGACAGCATATTCACAGTAACTGTGATTTCTCAACAGTTGGAATTCCGAGGAGCCGCAGCTCGATTGTGCACCAGTCAATCTTGGCTATTTACAAGAACCGAGTCGAGAAATCAATGCGAAATTGTAAGGAAAGAGTCTCAAATTTTTGTGTTCTCCTATTGAGCTTTTCTGAAAATGCTTAGAATGGATGGCCTTTTGATGGTTTATGAATGGATGATGCTGATAGCAGTGAAACTACTGACTAGCGGAATCTGGCTCCTCATTTATTTACAATGAACGATAATGGCAAATGTTCAATGAACCTGTTTTCTCCTTCCTCTTCTTCTTCTGCTTCGAATTTAACAGCGCTCATACTTTTTCATTCATAAAAAAATCCAAGAAAAACAAGTAAGCAAGCAAGTGTACCCTGAATTTAACACTTGTTCGGATGTTACTGCTATTTCATACCGGAATTGTGTGCTTCTCGCACATTTTTCAGTATGTACTGATGTATATACCTGTATGTACATACTTACGTAAATGTACATACGTACATATGTATGTGCATATGGTGAGCATATTTATGTATGTAAGTATCTGACTTTTTCTGATATACTTAACCTTGAGCTATTTATCTAACATATTTATATTACATTTGCATTATTGTTTTATTCAAATGATTTGATTAATTTTGCAAATTAGAAGTCCTTGAATATTTATATCTTCTAGAACTTGTCAGAAGGAATTTTATTGATAAATTAAATCCCTAATGGTTTGTAGTAAATAAAATAATGAACTGCGTAAAAGGCCAATCGTACAGATCATAATACAATTTATTTTTATAATTACTTTGTAAAGGTTGAGTATGAGTTGGGTTGTCTAATAAAATCATGCATATAAGCATATCACGTATGTAAATATGCATCATGTCGATATATCTACGTACGTATCTATCATGAGAATACGTGAAATCTGCCACCATGAATCGTTGTATGGATGTGCATCATAATATATTACATCAATCTCCAATAAGTCATGAACCCCTTTTGCAAAACAACTTTGTGTAATAATTCTCAATTCTTTTACAAATGTCCCTCAATTGTGTGAATTGGTGTTGTCATAATGTCTGCAACTGGTTTGAAATCTTGCTTGAGTGGGTAGTTGTAAGTATCGGGTTTAAGGTGTCAAAAGTATCGGCCAGACAGATGATCGTGACATGACATGATAACTAACATCAACCTGACCAGATTTTTTGAACGAGTCGGTCCGGTTATTCCATACACCATCAGTAGCCAACTACATGCATAAAAAGAAAATTCATGCGAAATTTGTTTGACACTACGTCAATGGACATTACAATAAGCACAAGCAAGTTGAACAAATTCTCGAGACTTGAAATTAATTTTACATTGGTTTTCAATTACACGATTTAGTCATTCATGAGGAGAACATGCATGTATTTACATATCGGAATATGTGTACATATGTGTATACATACGTATGCTAGGAAGGAGGAGAGAATCAAGACAAGGACAACCTGTTGACTTCAATTCTGATGTGTGAGCACAAATTTATGCATGAATAATAAGGCATTGATTTGCAATTAAACCCTGTCATCTTTGTGTCGCACGTATGTATGTATTTGGGATGAATTAAATGCCAAATGCCGTTGTCAAACTCATCCAATGACAAAAAAAGTAAATAAGCGAGTTCAAAAAGCGAGTCGGATATTTGAAACTAGTAATAAAACGAGTTTTTATTTATTGCTGTACAGATACAATGGACAATTAATACTGCTAATGAACTGAAATCACAATATTTGGGGGGACATTGGATGATGGGTGAGAGGCGGAGGGGGAGAAAAGAAGTGGGTCTGCGACTATGGATTGTCGGAGGAGTGATGATATGGGGGATGAGACAAGGGGTACAGTCCGCGGTAGATTGCTTCGGAATGTCGACTGAGGGGGCTAAACGCGGAGCCAGGGAGGGACGGGTGGTGGTGGGGCAAATGATGACGACCACTGCCTCCACCACTATGACTCCCACCTGACCCACCATTGGCAAGGTCGGCCACACTCCAGATGCGAGCCTTGGGGGGTGGCTCCTTGCTCCCTTCGCTGCAACTCGACAGTGGGGACGAATTCCTATGGACATGATGCGAATTTGTACTCCCTCCTAGTCGCTCACTATTATCTGCAGACCAAAAAAAAATTTCAAGTTAGTTGGCTAGTTAGTTTTTAATTGTTGTGGTTGTTCGTGGTGGTGATGGGTTTATTTTATTTTATTGTTTCTGCATCTCCATTTCCAACTCTGCGGTTTATAGCCACATCACCCCCGTTCGAATGTGTGTATTTAAATACGTACGTAGGTGTGCATGCATCTGCATGCTCGCTGTTTCATACATATATCAACACTTGGTCGTTTTCGCACGCAATTTAGCACAAAGTTGTGGCTTTATCTATTTCCCTTCCTAATGATGTTCATAAAAAAGTCGTAAAATGTTTATTAAAGGTCTTTTGTGTACAAACCATACTCACAGATTTTTATGGGTCTGGTTGCTTTTAAACAAACTTCATAAAAATCACAAAGTGTGCATTTCTCATTCCAAAAACGATTCGACACCGCATATGCCCCTTATGATTTATGGTCTCACTCTTACCCCATATGGTTCTGCCTTCGCTACTAACAATTTGAGAATTTGCAAGGAGATAGATCAACTTTATGATGTTTGACATTCAAGCAAGCGTGTTTTGGATTGTCATTTCGACACTCATTATTTCTCGAAATGTGATATCGCCGTCATAAAATTGAGTTACCTAACGTTTATGTTCGTACCTTGATTATTAGAATTTTTCTTGCTGGGCGATTCCGTCTCGGATGAGTCTGATACATCGACGTCGTCATCATCATCAGGTCGGTTTCTCTATAATTTTTTAATTTTTAAATTAATTTAGATCGCTAATAATTTTAATACTGTTAGTACTAACAGGCTCCCACGTCATCTTGTTCTCCTGTAATAACATTTTAAAGCATTTTAAGCATGTGCTACAATTTCTAAGACGTTAAAAAATGAACCAACCTTTTTCAATCTGCGGCGAGCGTTGGCGAACCAAGTGCTGACCTGGGTGAGCGTCATCTTTGTGATTATAGCTAACATTATCTTCTCGCCTTTCGTGGGATAAGGGTTCTGTAGGGTACAATAAAACATAGCAAACATGAAGACATCAGGTAGTACATATGTATTATGCATGCATTTTATACTATAAAATATATTTATTAACCTTCTTATGCTCGCTTAGCCAGGCTTTGAGCGTGCTTGTGGTTTCTCGTGTAGCATTCTAAAAAAATATTTTCATTTTGTTTGTAATTTAGGAATTCATGAGCATCATTGTTGTAAAGCTAACCTTCCTCCGACTCCCGTTCACATCCACGGCGTATCTAGACGAAACAAATAAAAGCACAATAAAAATCTGAACCACTTCTCCTTTCTCCGCTCTCTCTCTCATTCTTTCTCTGGCCACCACAAGGGCAGGCAGCAGGGTTTGTGAACATTATTCATTGGGATGCATTACACATTGCATTACTCACTCGTATCGTAAATAGCAGAGGATTTGAGTCGGTTCAGCCTTCCATGTCCCATGACTCGTGTCACTCCGTTTCCCACCGTCAACAATGAAGCCCTTCCTTAATGCATTTATTCCATTATAACCCTATTTCATATTCCCTGACCTCCTCTAATGCATTTCTCACCCCCATTAAATCTCATCATATCATAACAGACCGTTCTACATCCCATTTCTTCAAGCCACGGACCAATGCGTTTTGTCACACATTTCCTAAAAGCTCAAATGCTTTTATTACATGATTATTTATCTATCCCAGTTTATTTCCGTCATCATCCCTTCGCCCATAATTCCCTCCCTTGCTTTCAGAGATGTGTAATACGTGCATTATTCCCTGGTTTCATATACCCACTCAATTCTGGAAGTCATATACTTACTTCGTTTGTGTTAATTAAATTTGGCTCACGGATTAAAATGCTCAGACGAAAATACATATGTATGTACGTACATATTTATGTATGCGAGTACTATCCTTCTTTGAAACAATTAGTTTTGTGAGCTTGTATCAAGCATTTATTTCGTCTGTGCATTATTACGTATGCATTGGCATAACTGTTACGTATATATCCTTAATTTTGTGGCCAGTAATTAACAGATTCGTTATGCCGATACCCGAGCGTCATTAAGCACTTTGCAGAAGTGGTGTTAACCATTTGTTTCTGCCTGCAAAGAAACATTTGTGACCTTAGAAAATCATAGTAAATTAACGCGCATACATAATAGTTATGTAATGCTTAGCACGTAGTAATAATGAAATAATAGTTTTGTACTTGGGAAAAATCAACTAATTCGGATCAAGGAAAGGTGTTTTAGAATATATGTATGTATGGTTATGCACAACGTAGATGTGTACGTACACATGTGGTAATGTTTAACATGCGATATGGGGAAAAATTATCATCACAGGTTATCCTCATCAGTGTGTAATTGCATTGTTGTAATAATCACCTCCCACTGTGTGCTTAAATCTCTCAATTAGCTTAATTTGACCCTCGTCACATTCGTCTATTGCTCGCATATAATTTTAAACAATTGCATGGAGAATAATCCATAAAATGTCATAAACGGTCAATTATTCTTCCCATCCTGTGGCAGATAGAACAAGGAAAGTTTAGTTGAAACAATTATATAAAAAACCTATACAATTTCACTAATGAGATTCCATGCATTGTTGTCAATTGTTGTAAAGTTCACCTAATTTCTTGTGCATGGAGGAGGTAACTTGACTCAATGATTTCTGGAGGTGAAATACACACCAGGAGTTAATGGTCGTTATTTGCTGATTTCATGCAAACATGAGAAACGCAAACAGTGAACAGCGTCGTTGTGGAATATAAATTGGGTGCATGACGAGAAGAAGTCTGAGAACAATGAAAAATAATGAAGACTATCATTCCGTGTGCTATTACATGTATAAAAGCTTATCAAACAAAGTTTTATGGTGTCTAAAATTCTGTAGTCTACAAAAAACTTTATGTTCTTATTTATCAGACTTGATATCTTTCTGCGAGCAAGCGAATGGTGGCAAGTCTCTCTTGGAAGCCATAACGATTTCAGCATAAAAGTTGGTTCCTCCAAATCAAATTAATTTTTAATGGCGAGTGAAGAATGCCATGCCAGACAGGTACTCAGCAGAGTCTTACATGCGATGCAACGTTGACTTTCTCGCTCATGATTACACATGCCCACAAAATATGTCCACTAAATAGCCCATTTGATAGGTGGGCTCAGGATATTTTGACCAGCGTGTAAAATGGCAACGTCAGCACTTTGTGTGCAGTTTATCAACCATGTATGCATTATGGAGAATAAAAATCCCCAAACGACTCGCCCCTGAAAATGTTTACACAATTGGAATTCGCGTGTTCACTCGCGTAGAATCCTCAGGCATAAAACAGAACCAAATATTATCTGGTCATAATAATAAAACGTGGTAAAAAGTCAAGAAGGACGATGATGGCATTAAATTATTCCCAAACTTATTGTTCCCCCTCATTTTTAAGCCTTTCCTGCCTTTAAGTTTATTTTTTATCCAATAATATACACGCATGTACTGGAGCACTACTAGAAGCATTATTATCAAACCCGGCTATGGTCGTTTGCCTGCTTACTGATGTCTAAAATATTCATAAAATGTGTGCCTATGTAAATATGTATGCATATTGATGTAAACGCCAAGTCAAGTAAGTCTCGTTTGTATTTTTTTTTACTTGTCATTTTCCGTAAAGTGTAAGTCGACTTGAACTTTTCTTATGAATTATACATCGATCTTTAAGCATTGGCGTGTAATTCAGTTATACATTTACCTGGCTAGATCCTCCTTTGCAAGTATTGTATTTGGTACAACATACATACATAAGTACACATATGCACTTAATTTTAATTTTAGCTTTAACGAGACTAAACGGATAATTTTGTTTTCGTCAAAACATGTTTCAAGACTTTCAATCCTTTGTAGATATATGTACATTAATGATTCCCGTCTTTGTGAAAAAGCAGGTAGTAAATGAATACGTGTTTCTTTTAAGCAAAGTCCACAGTACATTTTCCAAGCCAAACCATAATCGTTTCTACATGCATACATACATACATAATACGTATGATGATGTGGTTGAATTTCCAAAAAAAAGTGTCTCTGTCCTATGCTATTTGGCGCTACTGAGAAAAAAGGATTTGTTGAGGGTGATGCCGAAAAGAACGTTGTTCTTTATTTTTCGGAATGAGGGACAAGGTTCATAAAAACTCCATCGTGTTTGAGGACATTTCTGTCTTAATAGACTGTATTATAAATGGCGTGAAGAAGGAAACCCGAAGAGTGTGAAATGGAGAGAGAAAGAGAGAGGGGAACTTAATTTTGGTGGGGCGTGAAATTTTTCACAAGCCAAGAAGAAAGAGCTCTCTTTTCTCCCTCATCCTCGTCGTCGTCGTCGTACACAACTTGTTCCTTGGCTTCCACATTACGTAATTCCCGTTGTTAGTTTGGAGGGACAGGTTTGGTGTGGAAGCAAAGTATTTGATACGACCACGACGCCTACCACTTTCCATCTTCTCGCTTCTCTGCTTTCTCGGTCTCGGAGGGAGCAGAGCACTTTAGCGAGCATAGCGCAGATATGAGCTCCCCATAAGAAAATAGATTAAGGCAATGCGCACTGGAGGAGAATCGATTGCCAGTAACCAAGAAATCTTTCGTGGAGAAAATCTTCCGATTTAAAATCACATTTTTCTTCCCCATATAAATGGCCACATTAGTGAAATTTATCGATCTTCACAAAGTACTAATCACTTCTTTCTCGACTACTCGACTGCTTATTTCACACCAGGCACCACCGCACGCAGCAGTATTAAAAGAGACGTCGTCGTGCTTATGTACATCCTATCGCCGCCGCCGCCGAGAAACTCTTTTTTTATTCTCAAAATCTAATTTCTTTCCTCTCAGATTGGGTCCTCCTTTCGAGGAGAGAGAGATAATATGTGTAGTGGATAAATTTATAAGGGCGCTCTGCCTGCTGGAGAGAATCTCCCTACCAACAACGCCACCACGTATAACATGAGCACATATACGAATGCATATTTAGATATGTACGACCACCGCCCGCGTCTCATTTTGACTCCTCAACATCCTTTCTCGTTATGATTATTCTATTGCTCTCATATTACCTTTACGACTTGTGTCAAGCATTAGCGTCCATTCCTGAAGAAATAAGATGATGTAGAATGTGGAATTTGAGATTTCCTTAAGCTTCCTCTCTCCACCTCACCACCACGACTGCTCTTGTCAACAGCTACCATTTGTTAAGCAATGCCAAGACGAAGGAGAAGAAGAGACTTTCAACACAATCATGCATTCTACTTAACTTTATCTCATTGCCGAGGATTAGTTGAAGTAGGAGCTGTCTTGGCTCAGAAATCAAGTTGAGATTTAGAGACTCGAGGTCTATTTTTCTTCGCATTATATTTCTTACGACGACTTACATAACTGCCAAAGATCGTATCAGGGTAGGCTTTACTTTTTCTCGTAATTCCATCCTCCCATGATGAAGATTTATTGATTGATGAACACGGGAAGCTGTTTCCAGCTCAAACAACACATAACCAACACACATACACAACTACTTACACAATAAATAAATATTTTATTTTACTCGTATGTATCCATCTCTTGCAGGATGAGATTTATTGTTACATTTTCATTTCAACATTTTCGAGGTGATTTTGTTAACTTTTCGAATAAAAAACTAGGATATGTACATGCATATAAATTATATGTGTACACGATACTTGGAAATAATGTATAGCGAGCAAGATTTACAACAATTTTGCTGTGCCTGCTTCATGAAACTGTGTTGCAAGTCAAAGGTCAGAGGAGGGTATGAAAATTGGCACACATGCGAGGAATGTGTAAGTGTTTGGTAATAATGTTGTACGACAAGATTCAGTATGTAAACGGATATGTATTTATCTATTGGTCTATGGAGCCTACATCTGTTTTCTCCGTAATTCTAGGAGTCGCCATTTATCAGGAATACCACAGGGTGACAGCGAATGTGGCCGCTTTCTGTCAATAAAAATTGCTCACTTCAAAACCTACACGCAGTTCAACATGCATTCTTTGCTCAGTTTTACATGTTAATTCAGCCGAAAATTAATTAAAGTCTAACCAAAGACATTATAGCAGTGGGGCAGCATCATTGATTCATAAGGAATGAATAAAGCATTCGCAGCCGTGACTTTGTAATTAAAGTCTTTCCAAATTTTACATCCGTTTCAATAACTTTTTCTTGTGGAATGCAAGGCAGACGTACGTATAAAAGATTTAGTTAATTTTTTGCTGGCGTTCATGTGTCATTGGGCTGAAGAAAATATATGAGCGGGTGATGAGCCCTCGGTTAACCACGCGATGCTGATGCTGCAACTATGTATGTACGTACTAAAGTAAAGATGGCCGGGGTGTATGTTCCTATTGCAACACATGTAATTTTTCTGTTATTTCTGCTGGGACGACCAAACAGTATTTATTTGACAAACAAATTCTCTTCGACGACGACGACGACTCCGACGACCAAACTCTACACTTTTCCTTCGTTATTTTAAGGCTCACCCCACAAATAAATCACTCGCAAGTTTGGAATTCCATCAGTGTAAGCAGCCACACATTCATTTTCTTTCTTAACTATTCCACGTTCGTTTCCCCTAATTACCATTTTACATTTCGGGCTTACATTTAGTGTTTGCTTACAAAATAAACAGAACAGCGTCCATTTCCATCAGCCAAACCACAACTGAAAATGGAGCAGCTCATAATAAGTAAGTGGTGCATTTATTACGCTTGTCCACATCTAGTCGCAACCAACCACCAAACTGAATTAGAGCTTTATGAAATATGCAGTTGACACATGAGGCAAAATGGCTTAACAACAAACCTACAAGTCGGTGGCAGTCAACTAAGTAACTGCGAACTACAGGTTTGGCTGTCTCCTGATAAATATTTGCTGAACTGCCTCCGTGGAAAATGGATATTGTCAGGAACCAAAGGTAAAGCTTACATAGCAACATCAATTAATGCTCTATCAGGCTTTCCCGGAGTGCAACACAGCCAACAACAGCAAAACACTGATAGACAACACAACCCCACTATGTCCGTTGAATTTTGAATAACCAAGAAAGCAAACTCATTGATCATAATTATGTCTTTTGGGACAGGGAACCTTTTCAATATTTCATTGAGATTCTGAACCTCGTCATTACTTAAAACCCCAGAATGACTTATATCTCCTCTCCCCTTTATTCTCCAATCAAACCCTGTATCTCTGTTGATCTAGGTGCACATGCCAGATTATGAGTCTCCACACAAATATATGGCACGATCAATGGCCCAAAGAGAGAGAGAGAGATTTAGAGGACGACCGCAAGACAAGGATGCATTGAGCAAGAAGGGGACTTTGTCGTTGGTGGCGGTGGGAACAATGTGTAATGGGTTTCGGTTTCTCTCCATGCATGTGGAGAGGGGGGCAGTGTCAATGTGGCCGTGGTGGTGGTGACCATTCACATCCAACAAAACCCAAAATATCATCGATCATAATCAAGCAAAATGTATTTGGATGCCTTACCCATTGAAAGGATAAGCTGCTGCTGCTGCAACAGCAAAATGCGGGTCGTACGGATAACCCATGGAAGGATAACCAACCCCACCCCAAGGTCCTAGTCCTCCTTCTTTCATGTCTCCTCCACCCTGAAAAAAATAAATAAAGTCACAACATCAGCTTAAGTTACTTCACACCATGCACTTTTTTCCCACTAAAGAAAGACACAAAAGAGAAGAGCAAAGATAAACTATGCAGTAAATTGCTCATCTGCCTGTCTCTTCCTCGTTGGCAATTTGTCCCAACTGAAAAACCAAAGGAAGATCTCCCCAAAAAGAAGACGTAGGTTTTGGTCATTGTGACCCAAGCTTTAACGAAAATAGATAGAATAATGCCCACCCTGTTTCTCTGAAAGAAAATAACAAGCTGGTAAGTAAATAAGTAAGTGATGTGGTGCGTTGCGGACCGTTAAGCACAAAGTGAGGTTCAGCAGCGAGTTTTCCGGTGAAATGTATTATTTTTGATGAGATATAGTATATGCATGTAAGGGAAAGTTTATTCGTGGGAGCATTGTGCAGGCAGCAGCAGCACCTCAGACAGCCATTTCTTTAACACTCGGAAATGGGGAAAGTAACAGGGAACAAATGAAGAAAAACTCTTTTACTCTTTTATTCGCTGTTCTTTCTCCCCACGCGAAAATATTTCTTCGCGTGTCTCACCCAGCAATGAATTACTTGTACATTTCTGCTGCGACTACGGACAACAAGCCTTTATTTGTTGTATCTCTCTGTACGAGTGCATGTACATACGTATAACGCTACTTGCATAGGAGAGTGTTATTCTGGTCTGCTTGATTTTGGGTCTGTGTGTGCCATACATGTGATTCCATCGTGTGGAGCAGGAAACAAGAATGGGAACAACTATAATTTCAAATCGATTCTAGTGTTCTAACATGTAAGCGTAATTCACAACTGTGTCTGGTTCCAATCCAAAGTATCTGTTTTCGCTTTCCGTTCCCTTCAGAGACTCCACAAACTGTCCATTTTTCATCTTCTAAGATAAATCGTGCTCTAGAAAACTGGTCCCTTGAGATTTCTTTCCTCAACACACATTCTGAGCAAGTATGTACACTCTACGTGTGTACGTATACCTATGAAACCGAGGTGCAGGGGTTGTTGTGTTGAGTTAAACAAGGTTTCATTCACTTGTAGATAAATGACTGTGATATAAATTTCCAAGGACAGAATCTTAGTATTATTATGGCGCACGAGTTAATTGAAAAACTTTTAAAATTATACAAAATATATCCGATAAGACGTTGTCGAGGAATCACCCACAATGCTTGCATGTTCTTCGAATACTCTCAACGTTTCCGGTGGTGTCGTTGTTTGAAAAGCTGGTTACCGAAAAGTTTACCCCATAATAGTAATTGATGGAAAGGTTAGATCTGCCTTGTCAAAATATTGACTATCCGAGGAGAGTAACTGATTCTCCCCCTTCCATTAGTTATCTCTCGCTTTTCAACTAATAAATTACATTCACAAAGGCTTAAAGGATAATTATTTTTTATCAAAGTGAACCCAAGAGCACCTATTTTATAAAGAAATTAATCCAACGACCAAAGCCAAATCTAATGAGTTATATATTAATAATAGTATGCATTGAAATGCCGTTTTCTAAAATAACAACCATTCCTAATAACACATACTATAAGTAATAATAAATAATGGTCATTTGCGCCTTGAACTTCAGTGAAAGGGCAAAAACAAAGTTTGCAATCACAATAATACTTTACAAAACTGTCGACAAGCATATTAAGAGAAGTAGAGAAGGCGACGAAGCCTCAGTGCGTCGATTAGAAAAAACGTTGAAAATAGTCATTTCCTTAATTGGTAGTAAAACTGGAGGTTCTTTCCTACGTGACATGATGGCTGCGCAGCATTAAAAGTGTAGAATTATGACAACTTTTAACACTGGAACTTGCACCACTCACTCGCCGTGTGCAGGGAGCGAGGAATTAGCTTTCCGAGCTGTTATATCTGTATGCATAGGTAGCACAGGTAGGATCTAATGCTCTGGTTGTGTTGGTGAGGTACCATTAATTACACAAATTAAACGAGAAAACAGAACCATCAACACAGAACCCCCGTTGCCGTGCTCTCTCATGTTCACCAATTCGAATTTGCTGCTGATATGTTGTTGACTGCTCGATATTTGTTGTTTGGTGATTTAACAAAGAAACAGCAAACTTCATATCAGCCAATTTTATCTGACATAGGTGAGATGTAGTACAAGTCCATTATGCTAAGTTCTGGTCCAGTCTTCTGTATACACGGTTCACATATTATGCATAATCATTCAATCTGTTCGGACAAGTCGTAACCGAAATAATAAGTAATATTGTTATTATGTAGATTTCTTGCAGCAGATTGTGTGGCACTCCACCACCACCACCATCCCTTTTATTATCATAACTCGAATCTCTCCTAGTACAGAAAGTACACAACACTTGCATAATTTTTCACGTAATTTCTCTTTCCTTTCTTCACGTGTGTGTTCATTGTATTCAGATCATCAACATCAAAAAAAGTGATTTTATTACAGGGCAACGGAACGATTAATGATGTTGGTTTTTAAATTATCCTTCAGCCTGTACAATGGTAATGCCATTCTTCGGCTTAATGGCGTAAGTAAGTAATATTGTTTTCTAGCTGGAAAGGACTTTTATGCTTTAAATAAATTTGGTTTACTACTTTTACAATACGCTTGTAAATCACTTAAATAAAATCATTCGCCCATCTCCCTATCCGTTGAATCTCTCTCCGTTTTGGAGTCATTTTCTTTATCCGAGCACTCTCGACTCGCCAGCAATAACAATACACACGTGAAAACAACAATATGTGTAACGTGTATGCCGAGGGCAAACATGACGTGAGGTCATAAAATCAGTGCATTTCAAGTACAAAAGCAATGATTCAAATTGCAGTTATTTATTTGTGTTATCAAACAGCATAAAACTAATGTTGTAAAATCAAAAAATGTTACTGCTAGATAAATGTAAAAATCTGTACGTACTTCCTACACGTTTAATGCTGGCTAAAGTCGTCGAGAACCACCAACATCATCCATCACAAACAAATACGCATCATAACATAATATTTCTTCCGATGAACTAGAAGGTAGCAGCATCAACACCAAGGTAGATATGACTAACTATATATGCACATAATACTGGGAAAGGGTCAAAACCATTGTTTGATTTCTATCTGATCATCATACGTCTCTAATTTATAATTTACATGAAAGTCATTCAAAACTACGAGTGAACACCTTCGCCACAAATGTACATGCATTTTATAATAATACTCGAGTGTATATACACTAACCTGTCTGCGTCTCACGGACAGTAGATATTTTATTCGCTCATAAGCTCCACAATTGCAAGGAAATGCAAATGCAAGCTGAATGAAGCTACCTTATGAATGTAATGCATAGGCAATGTTATGTCCTTCATTCGACATCGTCTGCCTCCAATTATTTAAATCTCTCGTGACGACTGTTCATCGTGTCATTATTATTACCACCTAAACCGAAACTTCTTCCCATGTAACATTATTTCTTGTACGTGTGTGCATACACTCCGAGTGAGTTTGTCTACAGATTTGCTACCTGGGAATTCATATATCCCATCCAACTTGTGATAATAATAAATGCGGTCGTAAGTACGTATTAATCTGATTCCAATATATTATTCCAAATCCCAAGTTTACCCTGTTTTTTGCTGCTGTTTGTATACACACACAAGAGTGACTTAATAATAACAGGGGAGGTTGGGGTAATGAGATACAATGTAAAACAAGAGAAACCGGTACGACGAGATCTTGTCATCGTGATTAAACCTTTTTATCTGACTTATAAGCATCCCTTTTTCCGCTGTTCTGGTCGCTTAAACAATCGTCTGACATGGTTGGATGAATACCCCGTTGTTGTCTACGAGTGATATCAAAAGTGCGCTAACAAAGCACAGCATTGTTTCACGAGGAAAGCCTGCAGACTTTGTTTTATCAGATTTTGGCTATCTTGTTATTCGATTAGAGACCAAGAAAAAATACCATGTTCCAATCAGATGCTGAATATTTGACCACTCGTTAATACAACAAACAAAAAACGACCACGGAAAATACACTTTTCTTCGTTCTTTCTCCCTTCCGTTGTTGAACACATTTTATGGCATTACGCGAAATTTTAATGATAAACATATTAATTGTGGTTGGAGGCATTATGTATGTACATAATGCTCGATCCTGTTGCTAGTAGTGGTGGATCACTGGACATTGTAAACTGGGCAAAATCTACTTGGTTGTTGTTTGTGGTGCTCGTTTGTTAGTAGCTGCTGGCTTATTAGATTTATCTTTAATGGTCAGAACTCGACCACAGCAGTGCACAGCAGTACGTACATATCATTCGAAATCTAAATGTTCATCAGCATGTAAGCAAGGGGTAGAAGAACTCATACAATTACTAGATACACTCTCCTCTCGTCTGCTGCTACTGTAATAATGGTCAACTTGTAACCATGAAGTACATTCGCATGTTTATTGTTTTAAACCCATTGAAAGATTAAAAAGGCAGGACGCCCATCTTCTCGCTCATTATTTAATTTTCATTTTGTACCTTTTCCTATCTTCTTAACAGTGTTGGAAAAATTATACTGCTCCAAGTTACCGAATAAATTGCACACACATACTGAGTTTTAATTACTTAACTTGATTTTTTTCCACAGTCTGACTCGTGTGATTTCTTGATTCCTGTTTATTCGTATCAGATGGATGCCGAGACAAGAGGAAAATAAGAATGACTTTGTCTAGCAAAGTGGTGGGTTCATGTTTTATAATAATAATTTAATATGAGCAACAACGTTTTTTTAAGTAATACTAATTCACCCCAGAAAAGCAGTAGTAGCTCTTTTGATATGTACATATGTGGAATTCTAGTTGGTGTATTAGCTTATATTGCCACTTGTGCTTTTTCTTCTTCTTCTGCTTGCGTAGTGATTTATGAGCTTGTTGATGTTAACGACGACTGACTTCATACTACCTTCTGAGTTATTATGCTTATTACACAAAATTGAATGGGTTTTAGACGCTGTTACTCAGTGGGAAATTGAGAATCTGATAATTGCAACGAGCAATTTTTTGTGTAACCCTTGACCGACGTTGTTGGTGGTAATTTGATTATTCCATGTATATTTTTATTTACTGCCTGTTTTTACCTACTTGATTGTTTTTGTCGGAAAGTAAACACACCAGCGGGGAGGATTTGACATGAAGAAACAACACAAAATATTACCAACAAGATTCACATGTTGACGTGATCTCCAATTAGGTAAATTCCTTAAGAGGCTGAAATTATTCTACAAGGAAGGACTCCTACATATGTAGATAGATATGCGACCCCATACATAGGCAGATTTCGTTGGCTTACTAGTTCTGCATGACATTCATTCCTTCCTTCATGATTTTAGATTACTCGCAGTTGGACAAGTGCATTTTCTTTAAAATAATCTCCATTTATGGAAATTATGGAAGAGAGGAAATTATGGCTAAAGCGTTCCCTTATTTATTAATGACGTTGGCCTCAGCGCCTAGCACCTCAGGCCACAGCACCTAGCGCCTACTTAGTTGGCCACAGCGCCTAGCCCCTAAATAAGTGGGCCACAGCGCCTAACGCCTAAATAAGTGGGCCGTAGCGCCTAGCGCCTACCAAGTAGGCCACAGCGCCTACACTCAGCGCCTATGGGGTAAACTGAGATAGTCAGAGAAACATCGGTATAAAACAAGGGAAAGGACCCCTCTCCGATGGGGGAATGTGATACACCAAAATGTTGGGGTTTTCATGCTGATCACGAAAATATAAATGTTTTGACCGGCAAATGTAAGGTCACAATAAGTCAAGATTTTTTATGCATTTTTGGAAGTTTCAAGTTGTCTCACTTTCCCCCTCGGCGGGAAATTTTTTGGGGTGACATGAGATCCTTAAGGCAAGATAACACTTATAGTTTTTGTCGTAGAATATTGAACGCAAATTATTTTGCCGCAAAGAGGCAAATTTATTGGACATTGCTAGAATATTGGGGAAAAGTGTCAACTATTATCGTAATTATGCCCCATATTGGGGAATTGTTCGTAGTTAGGCGAGCGAAGCGAGCAGGTTAGGTTAGTTAAACTAGGTACGCGGAAAGCGTTGCAGTTCTAGCTAGCAGTCCTAGCTGGCAATCCTAGCTGGCAATCCTAGCTAGCAGTCCTAGCTAGACCATTGAAATATCATGTCACCCCAAAAAAATTCCCGCCATGGGGGAAAGTGAGACAAAGTCTTGGAATTCTCTGAAACGTCCAAAAATTCAGTAAAAATTTTTAACTTTGACCTCTTCTTGTGACCTTAATATACATTTGCCGGTAAAAAATTTTTTATCTTTTTGCTCAGCGTGAAAAACCCTACATTTGTGTATCACATTCCCCCATTGGAGAGGGATCGTTTTGCTTGTATTCCGAAACATAAATACGAGACTGGCAAAATTATAGAAAATGTCATATATAGCTGAAATATGGAAAATCTTGGGGAAAGACGAGAATTCTAGTTTCTTTTTGTAGAATATCGAATTCCAATCGTTTTTCAAAAAATCGGAAAATTGTTAGGACTCTGGGATAAAGTATATCAAAGTTTATTATAGCTATGCCCCGTATTGGGGTACTGTTCGTAGTTAAGCGAGCGAAGCGAGCAGGTTAGGTTTTACTAAGTAGGCGGAAATGGTTAACTTGCACCCTAGCTAAGAGAGCTCACTAGAAGAACTAGCTAGGAGAGCTAGGTAGAAGAACTAGCTAGGAGAGCTAGCTAGAAGAACTAGCTAGGAGAGCTAGCTAGAAGAACTAGCTAGGAGAGCTAGCTAGAAGAACTAGCTAGGAAAGCTAGCTAGTAGTAGCTAGAAACTAGAAATCTCAGCTTACCCCAGACATCTAACTTTACCCCAAAAAATTCATCCCCGTATTTCAGCTATATATGACATTTTCTATAATTTTGCCAGTCTCGTATTGATGTTTCTCTGACTTTCTCAATTTACCCCATAGGCGCTGAGTGTAGGCGCTGTGGCCAGCTTAGTAGGCGCTAGGCGCTACGGCCTACATATTTAGGCGTTAGGCGCTGTGGCCCACTTATTTAGGGGCTAGGCGCTGTGGCCAACTAGGTAGGCGCTAGGTGCTGTGGCCTGAGGTGCTAGGCGCTGAGGCCCGCCACATTATTTATTAAAGGTAATAAATTAGCGCGTGACTTACCCCGTTCATCGTATAAAACGCATTGGCCGCGGCTGCAGCGAGGTACGCAACCTGGTCAGGACTGTACGCCGTGGGATTAGGCATTGACGACGGATTTGAGGGAGTGGACGACCCTCCTCCGTGATAAACCAAGGATGGGGCCAATCTTTGGTAGTTCAGTAAGTCCGCCGGAGATTTGACGCATGAACACAGCAACTGGCGGCACTGGGGACATGAGCCCGATGGCACCCCCGACGAGCCTCCCCCGCCCCCACTTGCCCCAGTGGACGGAGGACTGCTGCTCCCACCATCCTCGCTCTTCTCACTCCCGCTCTGCAAGATCACAAACATGAGTCAAATCATTTTATTCACGAGAATGGTTCAATGACTGCGTAATAATAATTAAGAGATGAGACTGGGTAATTGCGAGGGAGTCAGGAAATATTTATAACGTATCGCCCGATTTCATCACCAAGACCCTAATCGCCCTATTTGCATCTTCCACCTAATTATTGTTATTGTACTTCCTTCCTCCAAGAGGAACTAATTACTTCATTCTGATGAGCCGTGAATGGACAGATGGATGAATACGTAGATTTTATTTTATGCACACACCAGTTGCAAGAAGCCTCGTCATTTTTATTATAGGTTTGTATGTACATGAAGAGAAGAACGGAACGTGGACCGGACAGGACCCTGCTTCCGTTGCTCATCATTTCTTCTGCCTAACTGCCCAACCACCCCATTATCTCCAGCTTAATGTTTGTTTTAAGCCTCGGCATGAAAGATTCCCATTTTAGATTAACTTGCATATCGCGAGAGGATTTAAGCCTTGAATTTATTAGTGGAAATGATAATCTGCATTATCGCTCTTTTGAATTAAACAGTTTATGTGTGTTTTCACGATGTGTTTAATACCTATTTCCATTTATTGGCATTGTATAAACTATGCGGGGAATATTAGACTTTAAAGAAATTTATCGCATGAATGAAACAAGGAATATTTTTTGTATAATTTCTATGAAATGATATTGAAAACATTGGACTTTTAAACAAATCTACGTAAATGTAAGTATTCTTCAAGGGGAATCATTCCGATTTGCTTTCTGATAAATATATTGGACAAAAGTATTCTAAAAATATCCAATTTGACAAATTCTTATCCTATAAATCAATAAAAGTTGTGTTACATATACACGTACATTCATTGTTTGTTGTTATTTCGGTATTTTATTCCGTCGTTGCCGAGATCAAAAACACTTGAAGAAAAAGTCAAAGTAAAACTCTTTCTGATTATATTCAATTTGCTCTTGACAAAGTTTGGCAATGTGATCTGGTCAAAATATACGGACCAGTATCACACAAACCAAGCAGCACTGTTGAGCTGCTACGATAACTGTATCGGTTCGATATGTGGATGGATCGGGAAAAGTTTTCGGATGTTGGTTTTTCGGAGAGTGGAGTGAAGTTTGAGTGGATTGGGATATTCCGGATTGAATATATCCTATCGGCCTCAGATTACAAACTTTCTCCAACAACACCTTCACACACACACAGACACAGACAACACACATGCACACACAGCGATTCGCACTTTCTTCATGTGCTCACAATTTTACGTCGAGTCAGAAATATGTGGAGAAAGTCAAATTTCATTCTACTTTTGAATTTCAGTTTAGTTTTCAGTTCAAATTTCTCACATTGACAAGAAAAAGAGTTGTCTCACACTTGCTTTTTTGACATTCTTTTTGTTACTTTAGCAGTTGCAATTTCTTTTTGCAGTAATCACTGTAGATTGAAAGTGTTCAGATTTAAACTCTGGTTAACTTTCTCTTCGGAAGTGACAATGTGGAGGAGATGGTGTGAAGAGTGGTCTGCTCGTGATATTTGCAGACGACGACTATTTGCGTTGCGATTATTGGAACCAAGAAATCTGTCTTCACCTGTGGCGAGAGAAAAGGGTTGTGAGCCAAAGGTGGTTTTCTTAATTAGACAGAGTTGGGTAAAAATGTGGTGAGTTGTTGTGTGGTGAGTGGATGGGAGTGGAATTGAGATGAGCCAGTAAATCACACTGTGGACTAAATGTTGTGGTGGGGAGCCTATAAGTTGTTTGAGAGAGTGTTAGACAGGGAATTGGATTGGAGGAGTAGTTGTTACTTTGTAGAGGAGTGCTACTGGATTGTGGAGCTGTGGCTATGACAAGTGTTAATAGGCGTGTAGAGGTGCTTGTTAATTGTGAAGAGGTAGAATATGGCCTGGAGAGATGATGGTAGTTGGGGATGACAGGAGCAGTGATGTCTTGAGGGGTCACATGATCAATGATTTTAAACGTGATTGTTGTAATGGCAGTGTAAACGAGTGTAGCCGTAAGTGGTGAGTTGTTGGTATAAGGTGAGGTCTCTATGAGGTCTCTAACGTGGTAGCTTGGTGAGTGAGGTAGGAGGTGAGGTGAGACAGATGGATGGGAGAGAGAGGATCAATGTTGTGTGTGTATTGTGTAATGTTGAGTAATGTCGGTACATATGTAGGGATCTGCTTACCTGGTTGTTGTCCATAATGCTGTTGTTTGCCGTGAGTTTGTTCAGCTCTTATGGAGGAGTCGCTAGGACAAGCACTACCAGTGTTACCGCTGTTACTGTCGGGTCGAATGCTAATGGTGGGAACAAGCATTTCCAGGGTTTGGCCAATCATAATCATGTCTTTGGAACAATAACGTTGGTGGGGATAGGACAGAGCTGGTGGGGATAGGAGTTTTTCTCTCTAGGGAACTTCACTTCGGTTAGATTTTTCTCTACACCGACAGCGACAGCGTCATAGTGGTTGGTTGGCACTGGCACCGCCTCTCCATACCCGGCCCCACGACCGCCGCTCCTGATACATGAGGATGGTTATGCTCCTTTGTTACACTCCCTTGTACAACCCATGTTTCCATACCATCCTTCACTTACATTACATGTCAATCAATAACACAACAGCATCTCTCTCTCTCGAAACGAAAAAGCAGCAGCAATAACTGCCCGATGCAATACCCGGGTCGTCTTGCGCTCATAATTTCACCCAATTACCCTCTTCCCCCACCTTCCCCCGACTTGACACCATCAAACTCTCCGCTGCTGTTGCTCCTCATCCATCCTCAACCCTTTTTTAATACCACGTTTGTACATGGTTTGCTAATCATTCTACATACTCGACAAGTTACATACATAGGTGGAGAAAGCAACCGCAATTGTTGGATATGGAGAAATGAGAAATTCTCACTTTGCCCCAATATTTCGATATCGTGACGGTAGGCAAGTAGGGTCTGCAGTAGCCAAAGTTTCATACGTTGACTTTCACTATATATACACTTTCATCGGGTCATTGTTGTTTCTTCCGGAAGTGAAAGCGAAACATGTCTTCTTCTTCTTTCTCCATCCATTATGTGCGCTGGAAAATTGTGAACTTTTTACTACCCATGGACATGTGTATATTATCCCATATAGAGCAGAGTGTCATGAGCATACACGAGCATATTAGCACACCCTGACTCTGACAAAACTACACCAATCCAACATCGCCAAGAAGTGGATGTTAGTTGGATTGGGAACAACGCCAAATAAAATGCGAGAAGCCAAGTGGATGAATCCCTGTAGACTTCTTTCAGTAGCGGAGGAGAAAGTTACTCCCACATTTCTCTTTTTATCTCGCTTTTTCACAGCACAAAACGAGGAAAAAAGAATTACGAGGCCCACCGAGTCCGTGCGTGGTCGACGATATTGTGTACATCTCGGCTGTGTGTCTTTTGTCGAAATCGACCTTTTCGCTAGTCTGTCCTCACTCCAAGTCAACAATATCTCCCTGCTCCCACCAACCTCCCCACCAACTCCCTTTTCAATAAGTTGCCTTTCTCTCCTGCCTCGGCAACGTGGTGGTTCAGCTCATATATGGATGTAGCAGAATCATATGTACATACGAACAAGGATCTCTCAAGACCCCATGTCAACCAGAAATCCATGCAGCAGATATGTTCGACCGACCCGTGTCCATGTCCGAATTCGTGAGCTCTTGTTGATGCTCATTGTTCCGTTCGTATCGCTTTCACATTTCCATTTTTTAACCATCGAATCGGCAGTTGTGAATTGCTCTCCCTTTCTCAGCCTCAGCTCTCCGTCTGCTTTCTCCTCCTCCTCCTCCCTCTTCCACCTCGCCCATCGCTACACGACAACCGCTGCACTTGCTGGAAAGTACCCCAAACATGTTTTACTCGGATTATATCGGATTGAATTTCTGGGATTTCATTTTCATTTCTGTTATCATGCTGGATGAACAAGGGATCAAGATGTAGTGGTTTGGGGTCCCATGAGATGTCCAATATTTGAAACTCGCTTTCTTGTCAAATTAAATTGGAAGTTTATACCAAGTTTCAAAAAATGGCCATCATGGTTTCTCTATATTGATTTACATTTGGTTCAACTGTGTTTGAATTATGATCTTGGCAGATGATTGTAAAGTATTCATTCATGAAAGTGCTCGTAAAATGCAGAATTTTCAATTTCTTTGCATTTATGTTTATGTGAATGAGTTTTGTCGGTTAGTTTATCGTTTAAAGAGGATAAAATTTGTGATTTTTGCTGACTTTGCAGGAAATAGACGAGGTTTTTTAGTCGAATTTATGTTGCAAGGATATGAAAAGTTATGCATTACGTATAAGCCACAATACTAACTATGCATATTCCCTCCACAGTTACAACCACATCATCAATAAAGGAAATACTTATTCAATTCAAACAAATTGTGGTTGAGAAACATTTTTTTAAATATCAAATTATTCACCGTTAGATGGAAGAATATATGTAAATACATATGCCTTTGAACTATCATGCACGCAGTAAGTTCAAAATTAAATTGAATACTTTCAAGTATTTTTTAAAAATAAATCTGGCACCAAATGTAAATCATACTTTGTTCACGATTTACATTTGGAAGGAAGCATCTTGCTTGGCTGGTAAAATCTGTGTTGCATGTTTGGCTAATGCACGAGAGTAATTTGATTGAGGATAACAGAAATTATTGGTTCAATTTTAAGGTTAATTTTAATTATTGAGCTTCCATTTACCTGCTTGGCATAAACGATCAATTGATATTCTCGATCGAGGACTGAGGATCATCTCTGTCAGCAATCAGCCAGTTGAGATATCGTTTCTTTATGAATTCACGTAAAATCTGTTGCATTTAAATAAAGCATCTCCTACTCATGCCATCCATATGTGGTTGTTCTTTCTCACAACACGAAAACAAGAAGCCAGCCAGACCGTTCTACCGTTTGATTCGAATACTAATTGCTATCTTGGGTTATGCTACATTTTTTGAGATTATGTGTATCACAGTAGCTGTCCTTAATTATGAGCTCGTTAAAAATCTCGTTGGCTCAATCTACATTCAATGTACTACTACACAATTATGTTATTAGTTGATTTATCTCTCATGCAATTCTTCTCATTGTTCGTGCTTAAGTAAACGATCGATCCGATGTTGAATGTTTAGTACAATATTCATCACATGTGTCCAAATTATTCAGACACAAATAATAATTTAGTTCGTCAGTTGTATAAATTTATGTATGTAGCGGTGTCATATATATTTACATAGGTAGGTCTACATATGTACCTGGGAGACTTATTTATACTTACAAAATATTTAATTGCATAGTTCGATCCGAAAAGAAGGCTCACAAATCTCGTATGTAAACTGGTAATTTTAAGGATATGCAACTGAAGCGCTGACGAATTGGCGTGACTGACATGAAGAGAACAATAGTTCAATATAAATTCGTGTAACGGTGTTATTGCGCAGATCTGTAAGAATTTTAATATTTATCTAGATAGCATATGAATTTATAACTTAAATTCAGATTTCATGATAGTCTTTTAGAAAAATTAAATTTTCGACACTATAATCCAGTAAAGCCAAAAATACTACGGTAGATACACTGTGAACGTGTATTTAGGAAAGACGGAGAGGGCGAAGAAGCATTTTTTTATGTCGATAGTATTGAAAACCTTGGGGAAATTAAAAGCCTATGCTGTACGAGATAGATCACCAGAGAATAATAATATCACTTTATTACTCACTGTTGACGACTGCTGTGTGTTTGTCCTGCTCAAGAGCAACTTGTAAATATGTGTGTATCCAGAAAACCTTGCCTTCTTCTTTCCTAGTCCAAGCTAAGCGAACAAATGTGAGGCAATGATTCGAGTCGGATAAATTGCCCAAGCCAACTCAATTGCAACATGCGTTCTCTTGTGTTTGACAATGTTTCTAATTAAAACTAAGCCATTAACATAACGTCAATTAGTTCCAGTAGGCGTTGCAGAGACCGATCGACGTGGTCCATACATAATTTCATCCTGGATGTTAATATGCATGTAAGTACAGACAACATCAGAAAGAAAATTATTGTTGTCTCACTTTTTTGTCCCGTCAAATTAAAAGTGGTAAATAATGATATCAATTTTTTACTACAAGTTTCTGAACTTGTACTTTTTTAATTTTGAGCTGATTTTCACAGCGGAAAATGAGTTCGCCGCCGCCGCCTATCTTTGCTACTTTCATGTGCATCAAACTAAATCAGTCAACCCTCTTCATCATTCGAAAAGCTGTCACTTTGACGAAGATTGCTTGCGGATAAAATAAAGAGATAATTGCACTAATTGCAGTTCTGGCAGTTTGAATAAAAACTGTGTTTTTTTCATACAACAGCTACCATCGTTGTATTTATTATCTGTCTTTTATAATATAGAGATTACAATTGCAAGTTGGACGTTTTATGCGTGTAATAGTTACGTATCTGTGAATACTTGGAGTTGATTTTCTACTTTGTAATCAGGTTTATAAGATTCCAGATTTTTAATATTTGCGTTTCTCACAAATTGCAGTGATTATCAAGAAATTTTTGATCATAAAAATTGAACAAACCATTTAACAAAAGCTGTTAATAGTAATAAGTAGGTTTAATAAATAGTTCATATTTATTACATAATGACAACACAAACTAGGTTTATCTATCTCAGTTTCAGATATTAAAATTCAATGAAATGTAAAAAAAACACCGAAACGACGTTGATAATTAATAAAGTCATGCCTGCGAATAACGGTCTTTCCAGTAATGAAACGACATTAATTGTATGTGCGGAGCACTCTCGTCTCCAAATGAAGACCCAGGGAAATCTCCGACTGTTTTTGAAAGTACTTACGTGAGCAATGCAAACAGTAAAAAGTGCATAAAAGTATTCGTTTGGGAGGCCGGGGCGAAAAGAGTGGAGGGGAGTGGCACAGGGAGCAGGAAATTCACGGGAGGGAATATTTTAGCAGTAAGTAAAGGCGAGTAAATTGAAATGGATAATTAAAAGGAGAGCCACTGGGGAATTCAATGATATTCAAATAGCCGAGTTGACAGTTTTTTCCCAACGGGAATTTAAAGGGAAGAAAGGAAAAGATGGGCTCACACATTTATTTATTCGAGTCGAACAACGTCAACATAAATGTTCACATGTTCTCATTTCCAGGGAACAAAATGGAATCCTATTCTCGCAGTCTCCATCAATCCATCCGTGGATGTGCACTTTTACTTTACTTCATCCTTGTAAGGAAAGATATCTCTTCCTGGATATAAAAAAATGAACACAAGAGAATGTGGCACCACCGACCGACCACAACCAAGCCCATCCGAACCATATCATCATCATCGAACTGCAATTGTCAGCCAAGGGTCGACAGTTATCGTTTTGCGGACTGGGCGATTTCCATTGCGCTTTTCCTGGTTTTCTCAAGGGCTCTTCTCAGGCAGGGTTTCGATTGAAGATTTTCATGCAATTCACGTCATTTCTTGCCTCTCCCAAAATACCTGAGAGGGGAAACATGTGATACTTTATACTTTGAGTTTACATGGGTAGTGGCAAAGAGCTTTCGATGAGTCAGAGCAAGGTATTCCATTACTTTACAAGTTTTACAATATTTTTGCAAGTCCCGAGTTGAGTCTTGCTTGGTACATGGTACATAATGGCTATAAATCTTTCCGAAAAGTTAACATATCACCCAGCGCTTCCTTATCGTCGAGCTTGTACACTTTTTGAAATGTCTTTTTCTCTACAGAAAAAAGTTACTGACATGCCCCACCTCGCTCTTCCATCCAGTTTAGAGGAGGATGCCAACGTGAAACTTGTGAAATGTTATATTGCAAGACAAAAGTAGAGATTTGTATTATTACTCGATCGCGTTTGTACTGAAAACTTTTATTTTATTCCAAAGTAATTTTCTTTTAGTTCCAATTCCAACTTTACTTTATTCCCAGATTTACAATAATTCCCGATACAAAAAACATTTTTATTTATAACATTATTTCAGTCTTCAAAACTCGATTCTAGTGATGTGAACAATAGCTGATTCTATTTTATTATAGTTAGTAACGTATATTTATTTAAGCATTTATGTGTATACATAAATATATAAGATATGAAATCCAGAATATACACATGTTAATGCAACATTCTACTGAAATAAATAAAACGAAGTTTTGAGAAAGTTAGTTTTATTAGTCCCTACATCGTGTGGACATGTGTATAATTATCCACGCCTCATTAGGGAGGTACTGCATTCAGATTGTATAAATGTATGCATAAACGTCGTAGCCTCCAACTTTCTCCAGTTGCATTCTCAGATTAAGAGTGGAGGGAAATGTGTAAAAGGTTGAGGGCATAACAATCGAGATGAAATATTAAATTAAAGTATACCAAGTTATTAAAAATATTGTGATGGAGTTCCACAAAGGGAAAAGAGACTCCCACCACACCGCTGTTCGCACCATGTGTCACCCTCTTTCTCTCTCTTGCTTTCACTGCACTCACAACAGGATAAAATACAATATCTGTTAAAATTGCCAAATAAATGCAGTGTGAAAATGAATGTCACTTTGCAAGGAGGAACTTTCCCACTGCACTGTTGTCTTTAGTCCTTGTACGAACTAAAAGGTAAAAGCAACAACCACAAGGACAGAGGAGAATTAGTACGTGGGATTGTAGGACCAAACTCCGACATAGCTGGAAATATATGCGTGGCTATATGCAGTTGTATACACACTTTGAAGGCAACATTTCCCCACTTGAACAGAGTTTCAATAATGGATCCATTTGCTTTCTCTCGTTTTCATTTAAACTTTCTCGTCCATGTCCAATTCACAGATTGTCAAATCTCGTTCCCAAACTCTCGACAGGAGAGAGAGAGAGGTTACACTTGACTTATTTAAATTGTACAAATGCTGTCGCCGTCATATTAAAATTTGAGTCATAATTCGCTTCACTTCCATTCGCACACGAAATACTCTTTATTAATGCATAAATTTCAGGGGTATTATGCACTAGAGTGTGTTAGTGGCTGAAGGCAGAGGGGGAGCGAGTTTGTCGGAATCAAAGCCTTCCTCCGCCAATGTCGTCTGGGCTCCCTAAGTGATGGAGCGAGAGGAAGAGGGTTAGCTCCAACTCTTGAAATAAAGCAGTTTAAACACCCAAATGGTGTCAATGTCAAGTTTCGTGCATGGTGAAAAACATTTAATTTCGCAGAGGACTTGATATAAAAGTTCATTTTAAAATGGAAATTAAATATCAACACATGTATTTTATGGAGCCATGTGAGAGACAGATTGCTTATTTATTCTTTCTCATCAACCCTGTAAGCTAACCAACCACCCTTCCTCCAAATCCGGGGGACGAATGGCGGTGTGGCGTTGGTCATAAAACACGGTTTTAATGACAATATTTAAAGTTTGGATAAAGGATGATATAAAAGCGGCAATTTGACAATATATTAACTATCAACCATTCAATGAGAAATTGCGTCTGCTCTGTACATGTGTATGTATCTGTACAAGCACATATGCATTACATTAGCGTCTATTACTATCTGAAGACGATACTACTGGGGGTGCAACTACCATGTAGTATCGTCGTCGTCTTATTGAATAAATTTTACATGCATTGGTTCTACTTGCTGACTGCAGATCATGCACATGTCGATACTTATATTTATGTACATTCTGGTAGGATTGAACCATGAACAAGCTTATTTACGGTCAGCCGGAGTTTGAAAACCCAAACAATTGAACAAGCACACATTTCAACTGCAATCGCCATCACATCACACGATAATAACAATGGGAAAAACATATTGGATTTGTCTTGATGCTTTTTATGACACAAATCTCTGTTGCCTGTGGACCCCATTGAAAGTGAAGTAGTCGTCGTGGCAGGAACGGGAGGAGAGGCGGATGGACGAACGACCAGATCATCGGACAAAAACTGTGAGGAATCATCATAAAGAGATAATGGAAGTGAAGGAGGGAACGTGGTGGAGTATTCAATAAGACGATTAGAAATATGATTTATAGTGAGAGTGGAGATGACGGAATGAATCCTCCTGGTGGTGCGGTGGCCAAAAGTCGGGGTTACTAATGGAGGAGACAAAAGAATATAAGTCACGAAGGGCCCCCATCGGGGATCAGCAGAAATTCACGTCGACAAGAGGGGAGTTAAAAAGCTGTTTCACTCTGAGTAACACTCTTCTGAAATGTGTACATTCATTCTTCGTCTTCTTTTTCCTCAATGGTGTTCCACTCTCTCTCTTCATCATTCCTCCATCCGCGATACACACACACGCTCATGATTCTCCTCCTTCTGTCGAATGCCATCGGCTCAAGAGATTCGAATTGGCGTTTGAACCAAATTCCCAATACGAAATAAATGTATCGTCTATGTGCGTGTGTGGCTGGAATACAAGTCAACTCTCCGTATATGCACTTTTCCCTTCTGGTTGTAAGTGAGAGGATAAAGCCACTCTGCAAATAATAACCCCAAGGGATGAGCACAGTCAGCCGAGAGTGAAAAGAGATCTCAGAGTCAATTCGGACGTGGAGGAACAATGGGAGAGGTTGTTGAAGTGGTATTCACCAAAACTGCGAAAGACCAACCATCCACCTTCATTATCTTTTCATTATTCTTCTTTCCCCCACAATCAATACTGACATTGACACAATCCTCGGATGAAACTGCTGCACTTCTTCATCAAACCCACAAATAACTGATTTCTTCACGAGCATTGGTATTCGCCGGGTGACTGTAAATAAATGAGATTCTTGTTTCATCTTTCATCGTATATTCGGTCCCCCTTATACTTACCTATCTTATTAGATATTAGGGGCAGTAATTTCCGCTACAAAATCACAATTTTAATTGGAGATAAGCCTTTTTCAGAAAAACTGAAAGTTAATAAATATTTATTAATTTATGTTCGTTAATCTCGTATATTGGTTGATTAATATTTTTTTTGCAGTAACATTTTTCATTTCTCGTCATGTGTATCCACATATTTTTTGTGTGACTAGATGTTTAATTTATTTTGCTCGTGCTCTTCTTCTTTCCGGCATGAACTGGATCATCTGTCATTGCCGGATTGTACTATACGAATACTTGTTGGAATTTAATCTTTATTTGTAGGCTTTTAGTGGTGCTAGACGGGTGGTGTGTCCCGGTAGGCAATTTTCCCATTTTTTTCTCTCTATCAAGACAACTTCATTTTACGTACGTACATACATAATGGAACACGCATTGATGACTGTAAAGTAAACTCTGCTAAATGGCAAACCTGACTATGTACTATATTCTCAATCGCTAAATTCCATATCACAATTTTTACTACTTTCCCATTAGCCACAGCATGAGTCCAGCAATATTTCGGGGATGCTTCAAAGCCGACAAACAGTTGTGCATTCCTATCTGGTAATTTATTCGAGTGACAACCATGCCTTACACACAAAATACTTTCTGCTGGGAGCATTTAGTTTCCTTCATTGATTTTTTTTTCAATTCACAAGAACGACAACCTAACTTTGAGTTTGCCAAAGACAACAAGATACATATTCGTACATGCATACATACATGTACCCACAAAGCTAAGAATCTCGTTGCCTTCTTTCTGCTTCATTTTTTTAAGCTGTCTTATTCAACAAGGAGCTCTCTGGGTTGTATGTACATATCTGTTTCGTAGAATATTTCATTATTTATCAGCCACCAAGAAGATAAATTATTTCTACTTTAAACTCCGATCGGGTGATCTCTGTTTTTAACCCGAGTCAGAGTGTGGGTCTGCGTAGTTTGCGATAAACTTGCGTAAAACTTATCTGATTCCCAGTCTAAATATGAACAATCAGTGAAATAAACACCCTGATTTGGAAAAAGATACCAGCAATATGAGTCTACGCATTTAGAAGTTAAAAAACATGTTTAATCTTAATCTACTGCTAATTTAAATTATTCCACAATAGTTGTAATTTATCCCACTATTTGAGCGATACTGAACATCCACTGATTGTGAGTAGCAAGTTTGCTATACGGCTGGTTGACGGATGACGGAAACGTTGATGATTTTATTAGACTCCCTCCCAAAGCTTGTGGTTGGTTTCGAAAGCAGACAATTCGAAAGCAGACGTTTGCCACTGGGTCTCTTGAATGGAAAAATGCATGTATCTCAAGTGGAAAGGGTTGGGATTAAACGAGAGCAAAGGTTGTGGTGAAAGTCTAGTCTATCCAGCACGCAGTTTATTAAAGGATTTGAGAATCATATTCCGACTTTATCCATTCTACGAACAGCAAGAGAGCTACACCCACAGGGCATCTATCCGGTCCCCTGCATTGCGTAATGCACTTCATGCTGTTTCCTACTTTGAGAAGTTGTTTCTCTTAAAAAAATAATTGAATACAAACCCAAAAAGTACATGTACAAAAATCATAAAATATCTGTCTGGTTTGAAAAGTCCTCCAAAACTTTGGTCGTCCTACGAGCGAATCTTCCTGCAACCATATACACGCTGGAGGAAGAGCAGCTCGCAAGTTCGGAAGTAAATTAATTGGATACTTGACTGATCTCTGAAAAATAGAGCTTGTTATTTGTACCATTGTTGTTTTCCCTTGGTTTTGTTGATAGTTTGTTTAAATGAGAAGGGCTGCCCGTTAATGAAATTGATTACGCCAACGGACCGTGAGTTGAAGACAGGGTTGAATTTTTTGATTGGATCCTGATTAGTTGGTGATGTCAAAGTGGTAAATGGGCTGGGAAGCGTGCATGGACACGGAGAGAGAGAGAGAGAGCTGAGACAGATGAAAAGTAGACAGATGTAAGCAAGGTTTAGCCATTAAAGTGTCCCTGAAGTATCAGTGTCTCAATCTGGAAGACTAATGAGTGTCCGACGCTATAGGGTGTGGTCTGCCTACATTTCTTTCGAACTTGTTCCACTCCAATAGTCAACATTAAACGCCGTGGTTCGTACATAATGGTATTCCACCCACAGGGTTGAGCACTTTCTCACTTGCATTGCGCCCATCTGATACGACACTGCAATCAAAATCTGATTTCTGGCCAAAGAAAACAGCAAACTTAACAGTAAATCTCTCGTTTTCTGAAACAATACCAACCAGCGCCGTTAATCCCTTCATCTCGCACAGCCAGCACTTAATTCTGGGTTCACTTGTGGGGCCAGACGAAAGCCACTTATTGGTCTCTTCTCCTAATTCTGTCGTCATTATTTAACTCACAAATCCCTCTCTCCTCTGATGCACTGAACTACATTGTATAAATATATTATATATGTCAGAAAAATATACATATTTAGTTGTATTATATTACACAATGTTGGATCAATTAAGAAAGTGTTCCAATGTGAAACTTTCTTGTGGTCATTTGTATTTTTCATTAATGCTGCTGTATATACATGTGTCCCTGCTGTTTCATAATCGATTCCCTGTCATCTAAACATCATTATCACAAGTTTGACGTTTGTGGATCAGGATTTTTAGGGTGAACTGGAGCAAGCAATGCTCATTATCGTCGTCAACGCTTTTCCACCCATTTCAAGTCCAAACTAAATTCCACAGCTCTCTAAATGTGGAGAAACTAAATTTCTTGGGGAAAAAGAAAAAGATAAGGTGCATGTAAATACAAATAAATGAGTTCATGGAGAGAGCTAATGATAATGTGCAGTTAATGAAGGGGGAGAAGGGTGCAACATGTTTGTCAACAAGTGAATCGTTATTCCACTTTCCCCTCCCAGAAAGAACACATAATCCAACTGGATTTCTTGAAGAATACATTTCCCAACATATTTATCTTACAAAGGACATGGCTCCAGAGCTCTGCTGTTATTTCACAAAATTATTGTAAATCTCAAATACACATTTTTGCAGAGAAATGCCCTCTTTAAACACTTCCAATAATAGGACAACATGTCTCAACATGAACATATTTACGTATGGTGCAAATAGAATTAGGATTATAAATGAAACTCGACAGTCGGCGGACAACGACTAATGGGATTCTATATGGGCATGGAAAATTGAATCACATTGAAGCAGTCGTCCACGTCTTCGTCGCCGTGTGGGGTTGCGTTCATATAGATATTGAAAACTTGGATGAGGAATGGATCCACACCTTCTACTCGTTTTCCGGTTTAACGTACTTCTAACTATGCTACTTACAAGGGACACTCACGACCTGTCGTTTGAGTCCAGGGTACCCACTATGTTTTTTAGAATCTACTAGGACCCCAGATGAAGGATTCATTCATATTTCCGTGTAAAACTTATATTTGGCGCCATGGCGTGGCGCCAAATTCGCCAAATTTGAAGGTTTTTCATTTTAAAACCGCCGTAACTTTTGAAATCCTGGACGGATTTTCAAAATTTTTGGCAAAAATCATGACAAGGAGTTCAACTTTCGTATTCTATGAAATTTTTTCCAAAATTATCGCTTTTAACTTTTCGCAAAATTTCGAAATTTCGGGTTCGTCAAAAAAATGCTAAAAAATATCTCAAAAATTAAAATTTTTTATTTTTATTTTTTTCTCTAAAATTTCGACTTTTCTGATCATTTTAAGCATAAAATTTTAAAAATCCGACATAAACTGCAAAAGTTATGGGGGTTTGAAATTGGTCGAAAATGCAAATTTTTAATATTAGTAGACATCTCTGCGGTTTTCGAGGATAATACTTGATTTATTGAAAAATTGCTAGCTTTCAGTGACCCACAGTCATCTTCATCAGGCATGTACAAAGATTTTGGAAATCACAATCATTGCTTATTTTTTAAAAATATGATAATCTGTTATACATTTTGCTACTTGGTTACTGGACGTAATTTATAAAAAATTTAATAGTGTTGCGCACCATATCGGGTTGATGTTAATGCCTTTGGAAACGTTCATTTTGTTGTCCATTTTCTTTATGTAGAGGGATTCTTTAAATTTGCGAAAGAATTTCCGGTGTTCAGGAACTATGAGACGGAAGGATGTTGTGTCTAATTCGTGATTGTTTTCCAGCATGTGTAGTGCAACAGGAGAAGTTATACTGGCTCTTCTAATATCGTTTTGGTGTTCATTAATTCTTATCAAAAAGTCTCGTTCGGTCTCACTAATGTACACATCTGGACAAGAGTTGCATTTGATTTGGTACACTCCAGCTCTTGGTCTGTTCAGCTTCTGCTTAGCATTACATAAAATTGAACCCAGTTTCGGTCCGGGATAATATGCTATTTCCACGTCCATAGTTTTTCGTAAGTAGGATGCAATTTTTGACGTTACATCTCCAGCCCACTGAAGAATGATCCTTTTCTGTATGTCAACCGTTTTTTCCCGTTGATCTTGTTGACATTTTATCCGCATCCTGGTCACACGGTTATTAATAAGAGATGAAGGATAATCATTTTTCTCTAGTATGATTTTGGTAAGTTTGATTTCATCATTAAGGTGTTCCACGTCTGAAAGTCGGATGGCTCTGGTAAGTAGTGTGTCGATGACACCAATCTTGTGAGCACGAGGGTGGAATGACCGGAAATTGAGATATTGGGATGTTTGAGTTGGTTTTCTGTAAATGTAATGGCCTAAAGAAAAGTCATTTTTAGGATAAATTAAAATGTCAAGGAATGGTATTCTTTCATCAATTTCTTCCTCCATTGTGAAATGGATGGATGGATGAAAATTGTTGATCATTTGTAATATTTGGTCTTTTCTCCTTCGTCTGATTATACACAATATGTCATCCACAAAGCGTCTCCAAAAGTAGATGTGGGGGTTGCTTCTGATAAGTGTTAATTCCAGTTTTTGAAGGAAAAACTCTGCCATCACGGGGGAAAGAGGAGACCCCATCGCCGTCCCATGGTTTTGTTTGTAATATTTCTCTTCTAATTGGAAATATGAAGCGGATGTACATAATCTTAGGAGTGATATGATATCTTCCACGGACAGTTTTGTTAATTCCGCGAGTTGTGGATATGATTCCAATCTTTCTTTGATGTAATCTATAGTCTCTGGTATTGGGACCATTGTGAAGAGAGAGGTAACATCGAAAGAAACTTTGATGTCACCTGGTCTTGATTTTAATTTCTTTAGATCCTTGACGAGTTCAGTAGAGTTTTTGATTGAGAATTCATGTTTTGAGGCGACTGGAGTTAGAATATTTGCTAAATATTTGGACAATTTATATGTTGGAGAGCATCTGTAATCCACAATTGGTCTTAACGGGATGTTGTACTTGTGGATTTTGGGAGCACCATAAATTATTGGAGCTCGAGGATTCTTTTCTATTAATTGTGGTAAAATATTTTCGGGCAGGATCTCATTTTCTTTCAAGATTTGACACTTTTCTGCAACGTTTTTCGCATGAAGTGGGGTTGGGTCATGGTTTAGCATGGTGTATGGACCAGACATGATCATTGCAGCCATTTTTTCTCTATACGTTTCTCTGTCCATGATGACCACGCAATTTCCTTTGTCCGCTTTAGTAATACATATTGTCGTGTCTTGAAGTAAGGATCTGATTGAATTATTTATCCACTTTTCCCATCTTTGTTGGATTTGTTCTTTTTTAATGTGTTTGGCCATTATTCTTGCTACTCCGGTTCTGATTTTGTTTTTGTCATTATCTGTCAGTTCCATATTCATCATTCGAAGTTCCAGGGTCGCTGCAGTGTCAATCATAGTGTTTCCAACATTTTTTATGGGAAGAGAAAAGTTCAGTCCTAGGTTGAGTAATTTTTCTTCCAATGCAGAAAGAGGCCGGGATGACAAGTTTTTAATTGTTGGTTTCTGGAGTAAATCTTTATTATTTTGATATGCTGTGGTACAGACATTTTCGGCTCTTTTCTCCATAAGTCTATTGAACTTATTTTTCTGCGTGCTGGAAATTTTCAGATGAAGGGAGTTTCTCATATTGTTCATTAAGTTGCATAGCCAGTTCCATAATGTAGGGATTGACTCTCGAATGGTTGTTCTTAATTTCTTCATTTCTGATTGAATTTTATTTTGCTTGGTGTAGTTTACATTGATAAGACAGTTTAATAAGTTTGACTCAGTTCGTTTTTGAAAACTTTGGATCTTATCATGAGGTCCGAATCTTATGGAGAAATCTTTGAGTAGTAGTCCGGTTGGGATAATGTCATATTTTTTGCAACGTCGTAGAAAAATAGTGTTGTTTGTTAAATGGACTTCTTGTTTGTAGAGTGACTCCAATTTCTTGATCTTTCCAATGACTTCTTCACTTGCTTCACCGCGAAGCCTTCTAAGTATATTGTAGAATTTGTTCCATCCTCCGACATAATTATTAGTAGACATCTCTGCGGTTTTCGAGGATAATACTTGATTTATTGAAAAATTGCTAGCTTTCAGTGACCCACAGTCATCTTCATCAGGCATGTACAAAGATTTTGGAAATCACAATCATTGCTTATTTTTTAAAAATATGATAATCTGTTATACATTTTGCTACTTGGTTACTGGACGTAATTTATAAAAAAAAAAATTTTTAAGTTTGGCGCCACGCCATTGGGCCAAATATGAGTTTTACACGGAAATATGAATGAATCCTTCATCAGGGGTCCTAGTAGATTCTAAAAAACATAGTGGGTACCCTGGACTCAAACGACAGGTCGTGAGTGTCCCTTGTTAGTAAAGTTATCTTTGCAGAATATGAGTGGGTTGATTAACATCAGGAACCTCACGTCTGTGTGTGTGATAAAATAATATGTATGTATACATATGTCTTTACGTAACTCGCTATTAACACGGCTGGGTGGTTTCTTTGGTCGAATTACATATTGGGTACCAAAATGACAATTCTACTGTCCATAAATAAATAAATTGTGGTAGAAGCCCGTTTGCCAAATTCCAAGTACTACGACATTAACAAGTAACACTGTAGATTGCGAGGACTGGTGCAGCCACGACCAACAGGACAATTTCAAACTAATTCTCTTACAAGTCAGAAATCTTTGTCACCAGAGTTGATAGAGCATGGAGCGTGAAGGAAGCTTGCACTTCTTGTGTAAATTGGCCTTAGAGCATGAAAAAGTGTGTTATTAGTTATCCCTTAAAACAAAAACGTTCTATTTGGTCTCTGCAATACACACATATCGCCTCAGACGTTGGTTAACATACCCTACGACTTGTCAAGAAGAGACAAAGTCAAGGATTATTAGTTATCGTTGAGCTCAGTCAGGGTATCACTCTCCAACCAGCCTGTGATAAATAGTATGTGGGAGCAGATGAGATGAGAAGAAGACGAAGAAGAAGAGTGTCCTTGTCTTGTCCAACGAAACCTAACCAAACTATGGTGACATGTGTTGCAGGGTCATTTGAGCATTTACTCACAGCTCTACCAATTTTTTATTGTTTCTTACCCTCGTCACTGGGTAGGTGACCGACGAGACGGCGACGGAGAGAGACTTTGATAGGGATCGCCAACCAAAAGTACCAGGACGACCAGGCTCTCGATGGAGAAGACCTAAAACTAAAGTTTGTTAAGGTTGGCTGAGCCCAGGACCCCTCCTCTACCTTTGTATGCTAATTACCTTCATAGCTACAAGAAACAATCCACTCCTGCCACCTCATTACGTTCCTCTTAATGAACACTACAGCTGTCAACTGTATTGCCTCCCCTTTGGACTCTGGAATCGTCGTCGTCGTCGTCTTCTTCTTGGTCTGTTTATATGACATTCGCTCCAAGGGATCCCATTGTTCCACCACCACGACCAGCATCATGTACTCCATCAATGTTTGATCTCCAGCTACATATCTGTAAATACATCCCACTACCATCAACCATGGATTGGTTTCTTTTGTTTTAACAACGGCTATTCAGTGAAACCAACAACCCTTTCTCCTCCCCACATTAAAGTCAAAGGGTCCACACTAAACGACCTAATTTATAGTGTCACGAGTTGGAATTATTATATCCACTAGACATACACACTCAACACTCAGGACAACAATAAGGACTTGGATGAAACTGGATGAGACTCTTAATAATCTCGACTGTCTTCCTTCAAGGGTACTTAATGTGCTGCTGCAGGGAATTTCAGTTTTCAACAACTTATCAGACAAAGTCGGATAAAAAGGTCTGCTTTCCTTGTTGTTGTCTGCCAAACAAAGTGGTACTTGATCCTTGATTTTACGAGTATTGTAATAAAAGGACTTGCCGAAACTGCTTTAACGAGCTTATTATCGCTAATACATTGCCCAAAGAGTGCTCTCATCCACTTCCTCTGTATCTTATCAATCAAATACGCACCATCATGATCCCTGTTATGTCAACCCTTCCATATAATGAGCAAATGAATAATGTGCTTCAAAAAGTTGGGGAAAATATTTCAACGTTTTAATTGGGAAAATTATTCTTTCTAAATAAAATGAAAATTTGCACTTACTTTTTCGCGATAAATTATTACGTGAGTATAACTGACTGACTTGTTAACCATTGTAAATAACATTGTAATGTACAGTTATTTATGTAAGTGCTATCATCAGTTGTCCGCCTTTATATGTAGCAAGATGTTCAAACACAGAACATACAATTATGTACATTGATTGTCGATATCATGAAAAACATGGCTTGGCGATTGATTGTAGGTTTTCACGTCAAAAAGCAAGCATGATATAACTTTTCAATGAGAAATCTTCGGATCTATTGATCATTTATTTATTTTTTGTTTGATTTAACAGAAAAGCGATTTCAATTTTCATCTTATCTCAACAAGTACAATACAAAATGAGAAGCAGGGAGGGATTGCGTTCAGCATTTCATTTTGTGACTGTAGACGACGATATCACATTGCAGCATCTCCGCGTATATAGCAAGAACTGTTGAATAAAATTGATGTTGTGTTGTGAGTAAGGTTTGAACCGCAAATATAAATAAGAGAATTTTATGACCAAAAACACATGTGACAGGCTAATTTTACACCTGTTTTACTACAAATGTCAACCATGCTTTTCGACTACATTTATTTTTAACCCCAAATAACTGACATTCTAAGTTTTATGTAAGAAAAACTAATTCACAATCTGCCACCGAGTTTGTCAACTTAGTTCTAAAACATTTTATGTTCCTTTGACTGAAACCTATTTTGCCTGGTTGTTCATTTCAAGTGGAGGTTCATCCATACGCCCAGACTTTTACACATCTTTCATGTATGCATGGAACCAAGCTTGGTTTTGTGGGTTGAGAAAAATGAGAAATATTTTGCTACTTAAGTGTTTGGTGTCTCCTTCCTACGCATTTCTTGTCATGCTGTGGTAAAATGTCTAGTTAACATTAGACTGGCTCTCCGTTTAATAAAGGTGGTAGTGTCATGCTGGCAAAAATGGATTACAGTGGATTTATCAGGTCCGTGTGTTTCGGATAGTTTTAGTTACAGATTCAAGTCAAATATGTTACTTATCACCTAAATATATACTCATCATTATTAGACAGATTGGTCCGATTGGTTATTTAATATAAACACTGTGCATGGCTTGATTTGATGAAAAGAGGGTAATGAAGTTAAATTAAATACATTCACCCGAGGTAAATATATGCATCTACGTAGAAGGGTTAATGATGGCAAGCGTACATACTGATCTTCCTGGTGCAGTGTCGTCAAATGGCAACCAGGAGAACAAATTTTAGGTGGTTGTTAATGAATCTAATTTGCAAATCAGTTAGATTGGAAGCAATCCTGAGGGCGGCACAACAAACGATAAATAATGCGTATATACACAAATATGTGCATGATAAGTATAGGAAATAAGCGAAGAAGGAAATAATGTGGTGACTGGTGATTTGCCTTAGCCGTTGAAGAATGATCTACATCGTATAGTTTTATGTTTGTTTGGTTGGTTGGTTGGTCTGCCAAGCTGTCCATACAAGTGAGACCAAGTTATAAATCATGGTGGTGACCAGAATACTGTCTGCTTCTGGGCAAAGGCGAAACCTTGATGTGACCAGTGGATGGTTTAATCCCTCAGCATGTCAACCAGGGAAGACAAATGGAGTAACTTTGATAAATGTACAACCTAGCTCTACCTAATGAGACTCTTGGAACAATTTGGGTCTATTTAAGTGACGTTGCGCGAGACTGTTTCGTCACTGACAGTGTCAACTGCGTTCACCGTGTCACTCAGCTAGCGTTCAACTAATTTTAACCTCGTCATGGCACACAAGCCATCCATTAGTTCTCCTCTCCCACATAATATCCATGCCTCTTCGATTCGAGGCTTGCACCATTTGAGACTTTGGGAAGAAGTTATGGATGTGTATAAGTACATACATTATCCGTGTACATTATTCACCATACACATTGCACGTGGTCTAATGTCTATAAAGAAGACTGATTCTCAGTATAAAATTATTAATAAACTCATCGTCAAGATTGAGGAGGGAATGTAAGGATATAATGACACTGATATTTTAAATTTGCGTCATGTTTACAAGGAGAGAATCAATACCAGTAAAATGTTTGAGTAGGTCAAATAAATACATGCACTCGTAATGGAAGAAGTTATTCAAGATTGTGTATTCACTTGTATTGAGATTGTTTGAGGATGTTGGACAAGATGACGTACATTTGTAATGCTGCTGCTGCGAAATATCCCAGTCTGAAATTACATCCCATCCTATCATCGACCCAAACGATATGATATGCCATTCAAGTAGGAAAGGAAACTAATCTTGCATGTGCTTACTCTTTGATTCCAATAAGCAGCGCTTGAACCTATCACGCAAAGAGCATTTGTCACTGCAAGAGTTGGATGTCGTGGGGCCTTTGGGGGGTGGTTCCCCACCGTTCGTCTGTCTCCTGTCTTCTTTCCCTCTGCTCCTTCCACCTTCAAGTTGGCAGAAGAGGTCTCCTCCGCCATGATTTTTGCTCGTCATCATCATGACCATGATGATATGGTGATCCAGCCAATAAGCCAATATGCAATGGTAGTGAAGTGAGTGGGCAAAGTCAAAAGTACAAAATGCACACCTGTACATAGTCGGTTAATGACAAAAACACACACAATGATTGACTCCCTAACTCTTATCCAAACAGTTTCGTGGCGGTTCCTTTGCTCATCTTATCTCCTCATTATTGAATAATCCCACTTACCAATGACACTCCTCACCGACAAACACTCTTGTGTACATGTTATTATTTCTATTGCCCTTCATAATGTGTACATTCACTTATCACCTGCACTGAATCCACTGGTGAGCAGTTTTCAAATACATGATCAGCACCAAATTATGTCTCTCCAATCAAACATTCACAATACATACGTATCACAACCTCAATTACGCCACACACAAGCACACATGTCTGTATTGATTAGCTACTTTCACGTAATATGTACATGTATTTTTTCAATTAAAAAATAATAATAGTCACTCACATGCATCATCGTCAGTCAATTTCCTTCATCGTTAACTAATGTCACATTATTATTCACAGGTTGTCTGACAAATTGTTCGTGACGATCATGACCATGATGTGGTTATGTTACCACATTAGTTCCGTCGTGTGTTTATGAAACTAGGTTATCAAATTATTTCCATTAGCGTATCTGAGATCTGACAATTTCAAAGTTATCAGTTCCGACTACATTTGTCAGCCAACTATACGTCCGACCAAGCTTTAATCATAGGTATTAATAGACAATGCAACAAAATAAATGGAAATTCCTCTTAAACTGCGACCGCAACCACCTTGTCAGGGTTCACGTAATCAATGAATAGGCAATCAATTAAGCATTTTGATTGACAAACTGACGTCCAACATCTTTTGTCGGCATAAATTAGGTTGTTTACAACAAATTTCCAATTCTGATTGTTGTAACCTGAATCAATCTGCATTCATTCTTATCAGGAATCAATTTTTGTATGATTGAATGTTTGCTTGACACACTATCGGGCAGTGAAATTGATTGATTTTATTGCGATATTGGCTCGTCTATTCGGTAAAGTTGAGAATGATAAGAATTACACTTGTTTTCGTCATGTTTGAATCGTGTGTATTGCAATACAATTTGTCACTTCCAAAGTTCACACATGACATCAAAATCTGACATCAATTGTCAATGGGAGCAGAAGATAACTTGCATGATTTGCAAAGTTTAAATTGTCAACCTGCGTCTGCTTTCGGCATGCCGTGTCGTCTGCTAAATACGAGCAGTTTTGTGCATAATATATTTTTTCTATGTATGATTTAAGCTTAGCACCCATATATTCATGATCAACACTTGGAAGCTATTTGATTTTTAACCAAACTTTTATCGAAATTTAAAAAACATGTTAACTAGCTTGGAGGTTGTGCGAACAATAAAAACTTTAATCACGAATGACAATTAACCTTAATTTAGGCTAGGGAGGTCTACGTACAAGGTATTTCGGATGTTAGATATATACGTCAATTTTTGCGTTTAATCTCACATTAAATCTAAGGACAAGTTTTGTGCTAAAAATGTGCTAAAAATGTACGTTGATAAGTATTTACATATGTATGGAGCTACTTGTTTAGTTTACCTCTTTGCGTATGTGTCCCTTTCTCTGACCTCCTGATGGCATCCGTCTTTGTATTTTTTCATGCTAAAACGTGCATGATATTTCAAAGGGGCGAAATAGTTTAGTTGTTCGCTTAATTTGGTCCATGTGATCTGATAAAAATCTGTCGACATTGGTCTTACACTTAATATCGTCTAATATTGTAATCATATTATCTAAGAAAAGGGGACATGAAACTTGAGACGGGCGAAAGAAGATTGTTTACGATGAAATCCATCCGGGGGGCTCTCAAGACTTTTTCTATTCAAACCCAATCTTTGGGTTACTTTGGGTTAATAGAGAAATATGCCAGACCATGCTGTTTGTGTGCAGTGAGACGAAATTTTTTTCTCAGTTGTTTTGTAACTCTACTCCAAAACTGTTGATCTTCCCCTTCATTCAAACTATTTATTTCCAACACTATTTCCATCGAGTTATGAATTAATGGAACAGTACACAACTACACACTGATGGAAAATGTATAGGAAGTCAATGATGAACCAATTCGTAACAAAATCTCACAATGCCCATGAGGAAAATAGTTATCAGAAAGTCAATGAGTAGCATACCTAATATTGTATGTATATTGAAAGGGGGTGGTCACGACACCCATTCTTTTATTATCGTTATAGTACATAATAAGCAATACTCATTTTATGTTTTTCTTGTAAGTATTCATTGCATTTCGCGTACATTTACTTCATTGCTTGTAGTATGGTTTGTTTGGTATATATTTCAAGGATTGTCTAAAAATCTTTATCATAACGAGTAGAATGTAATAATAATACTTAAATAAGCTATTTAACGTATATTAATCTTACAATTAGTTTAGTTTGTAGCTTTATGTCTGTGGCGTTATTTATTTATAAGGTAATGTGCTTCATCCACTTGACGAACTTAATAAGAAATCGGTTTTGTCTCTAGTAATTAGTAGTTTTTTGTGATGGTTTGACGTGGTGTGATAGCTCAAAGTATTTTTTTCACATTTTCAAGTATGTTTCCCACTCATTGTCGTCGTCGTCGGATGATGATGATCGAGGCTGCATGGCTTTTCGGGTTTGTTTGTTGTTGTATATCACAGGGTGGTCACCACGTCACATTTCACTGGGCTGCTTTGTTTTGCACGTCACAAGTGTTGTTGGTGGTGGGGGTGGTGGTGGTAGTAGTATAACTGATGATGGCAGTACTTTCTATCGTAGTAATGGTGCAAACTTTGCTCCTTCTTATCATCTCGTCAAGTGTGGGTTGACACATCTCATCACATGCAGAACCCTCCAGATGAGCTGCCAAAATCAAAGCAAAGAATTTATTATCATCTCTTTCCGTATTTCGTCACCTTTCTCTTATCATTCGAACCAATATACGCTTGCCCTTGAAGGGCCTACTCTGAGGATGAGACTTGAGAAAGAGAGCAAACAGATTGAGCCTGGATGCAGTGATTGCTTGGAAATGGAATGATGAACAGTTCACGGGCAACAATATTCACTCGTGTGACGTGGACAGTGTTTATCATTGATTCTCATGCTTCAAACTTCAAACATTGAAACATTAATTTATGTCATGTCAAAGCCCTTTGTGTCTATCTGCCACTTCATGCTTTCCCATTTAATCACTGCTTGAGTTGTCCGTGTGCTTTTGCGCTGTACACACATTGCATACGACTCCTTGGCTTGCATGACTTGCTTTCTTCATTCCATTACAAATAATGCCCTGCAATGTGAGTAAATAAATGCATGGCAAACTAACCTGAAAGAGGGAGAGAGAGGGAGGGAGATAGGAGAGGAGGGAAAGAGGACGGATAGCAGATAGCAGCTATAAAAACCATTAAACGTCCAAACAAAGAAATTTAACTGAATGAAGACTCTCGCTCTGTCGTCATTGAATAATGTTTAATTTAATTTAATGGGGTGGATAATGGAGCAACTAATGCAATCAGCTTGTATTTGAAATTGACTTTATCCAACAAAAAATAACAAGAAGTTTGTGCAGTTTGGTTGGTTTGCTCATTTGTGCTGAACTGTCATCATGTGAACAATTGTAAATAATTGTATGCAAGATGCATATGCATAATAAGTAATGTAATACAAAGATTTGAATGACTATTATGTCCATTTACAAAGTAGTTTACACAGTCTGAATGTTCAATTGAAGAAATCTCAATGGCCTTAACAACTTGTATTATTACTCGCATTACATCAGTCACACCAGAGTAGTTGCAAAACAACTACTCGGACTACCTGTCTATCTCCCTCGTCAACTCTTCTATTATTGGAAATGCTCCTCTGTAATACTCATCTAATTAAACAATCTTGATGCACATATTTATTAATAAAAAACTGTCTGCACAAAGACACCAGCGAGAGAGCGATGAATGAGATAGACTGAAACTCGTTTGAAGAGAATAAATGTACATATGTACATACGCCGCATACACAGATATCTGTCCAAGTCGACGTCTTTACTACTACCCTTTTTAATAAGTTTTGGTTGTCCATCCGTCCATCAAGAAATTTAGGTATCATGATGTAAGAAGTATGTAGTACCCTAAGAACCGCTCAAGAACAACCCGTAATAGTGCAATGCATGTACATATGTATGCATCTAGCAACAGCCAGTTACTGTTGTTTTACTCGCGATTAACACGAGTGCTACCAACTAACTATTCCAAGCACAATAATAAATCCTGCATAGTTCGCACCTGTAACTGAATCAACGATACCAATATGCTGCATTTAATACTCAGGGAGTGTGAATTAATTAGGATTAAAAACAGGTTTCTATTTCAGCTGAACCAGTTTTACTAATAAAAATAGGTTTCATATATGTATACACACCCATATTCTCCACTTTTCCGTCCAATTTTCCACAAAAGATAACAAGGTGTTTATGCTACCCATCAATTTTCAAATACGGAAAATTTGCATTGAATGGAATGAATGAAAAACCCAGCCGTGTAAAATAAATATATTTATCTGTACATATATGTACATAGCACTCTAACTCTCCATTACTAATTAGTTCCGACTGATGAGACTTCTTCTCAGCTGCAAATCATCATTTCTCAAGCATATCTTTGGTTCAGCTGCATCAGTTTTTGGAGCTACGTATGTATGTGCATATACAGTAACTGTTAATAGAACTCGACTGTGAAATGCAAAAATAATGCTGATTTATGTGCGAGCTGTATGAGCGTGAATGAAAAGTCCAACATTTCTTCAACTATTATTTTACTACACTCATTAAGCCGAATATTATGAATAATTTGATTGATTGCTCACATAAATTTGTAGCTTCTCACCTTTTGAGGACAGGTTTGAAAGCAGTGGCAGCGAGGTCTGCTGAGCTCAGTCCTGAAGGATGGTTTCCTGCTCCCGGTACGAAGTGAGATAAGCTACCAGGCAGCAAGGGTACTTTCGTGGGTGGAGTGGTTGGAGGCGTATCAGTTCCCACTCCGTCATTCGACACAGGAATAAAACCGCTGCCATATCGGTACCCTGGGAGCGCAAAGCTCCAGGATGATGACACTGGGGGTGGCAAAGGACCATTGGGTGGTCCTCCAGGATGGTGTGACATTGGATGGCCATGGTGGTGGTTGTGATAAAGTCCAGGATGGTGATGTCCCAGAAGGTGCGATGGGGGGTGAGGTGGGGGCGTCTTGGAACTGTTTTGAGAATTTGGGATAAACATATAAGAAGACAATGTTTGTGATGATACACATGACATTATCTGGTGTAGAGATCGTACGAGAGTTTGATGGACTACTAAATATAAAATAACATAATCTCAATTTTAGATTTGCTTTGTGCGGTCGAAATATAAACTGCTCTGTGCAGTAAAAGCGAGTCTTTGTGTTTTTTAAAATATTTTTTTCATATTTAAAAGACATAAAATGACAGACGAGTCAGGTTTCCGTTTCCACAGTTGGAATGCAAACGGAATTGATGAATTTAAAATCAGAAGCATGATGGCTTCGACATGGGTTAACAGTGATCTTATCCTCATACAGGAAACCAAGTTGAACCCATCGAAGGAAAAAGACATCCTGAAACTATTAAAATGAGTATGGATATGGCGGCATTTTTCAGGCAGCTGTAAATATTAAGTACACCGATTATTGGAGGGATGGTGTTAGTGTGTTTTTCAAAATTGGAATTGACATAAGTCACGTGAAAATGGAAAATGTGTTTCCAGAAATAAAGAAACATTATCCACAAAGACTTATGATTGTTAGTATAAGTAATGAAATGCTGGGAAACCGGTCAGCATATTTTGTAAATCTATATTTTCCCGTACATCACATGTCTGATCCAAAAGGCGAGAGAACAAAGGAACGATCAGAGTGCTTGGAAATAATGGAAACTGTCGCCAAAAAATTAGCTAAAAAGTTATCCATTTGGGTGGGTGATTTCAACGCCATGCGCCATAACCAAACATTGGCCCCCAATATGAAAATAACCGATCCAAGATGTGAACTGTATAATAAAATGAATGCCGTATTTCAAAAACACAATTTTTCCAACATGTCCGAAATAATGTGGGTGGATGACGTGTTTACTAGACATGGAATCTGCAAATGTTTAGTTAACTCAGCTCCAGTAACTAAAATGGTAACGTCTCGATTGGATTATATCATAATATCAGAGAAGTTCTTACAATTTCATCACAGAAATGAACCTGTTTATGATGAAGCAATTTTTTATCTTAGCGATCACTCAAATATCAGTTGTTTGATCAAAAAACCGTCGAGTGAATACCCGTCCGCTGATGTAGCAACAAAAATTACATGCGCTGTCCCGGATTTACGTGTCAATAGAAATGTGATATGTCCTTATCCAAATTGTGGACAAACAACGCGGACACCAGCTGCGATGATCCGACATGTTCGAATTCATACTGGAGAAAAGCCATTTGTTTGTGAAAGAGATTGCGGTTTCAGGTCTGCATACAAAGCGGCAATTGAAATTCATGCACGTGTATGTAAAGGTTCTTTTGAAAGCCGTATGCTACAATGTCCTGATTGTCCAGCTACTACACCTATCTTGGAACAATTCCAAATCCACAGAAAAAGTTGTACCCAGAATAAGCAGAATTTTGACCAAACAGCCAGATTTAAATGTACAAAATGTTTGTACTCAACCAATAAAATGAGTGGTTGGAAAAACCATGAAGCTTCTGTGAAACACAACGCTGATCAAATACTTGTCTGGTATTTTTGTTTACCTTGTAACTATGTAACGTTGCATACAAACCAAATAAGTAGACATTGTGAAGCTGGTCAACACAAAGAAATGTTAAAGAAAGACAATGACCAATAGATACAAGTTCAATTTGTTTTAAATTTCTTAATTATCAATAAAAATGATTAATTATACGTGGGAGGTTGTGTATCCTATTTTTATTTATTATATATCTTGTCAGAAATGCTACTTGTGTACAATTAGTGTGTACCTATTATTCGGGAACAGCAAACTAAAAACTAAAAACTAATCGTTGGACTATATACAAATGTATATATGTATACCTGTCGCACATATTTATTCTATATGAGTTAAATGAAAAATGCCATTCTGAAACTTATCGAAGGACAAAAAGCAGCAAATCGAGTCGGCTATTTGAAACTAGTAATAAAACGAGTTTGTATTTATTGCTGTACAGATACAATGATAATTGATACTGCGAATGAACTGAAATCACAATATTTGGGAAAATTGGAAAGGGTAATGGGAGGAGGATAGATACGGATCAACTATGGATTGTCGGACAAATAGTAGATTGCTTCGGAATGTCGAGTAAAAACGGTGCCGGTTAGGGAGGGTGGTGGTGGGGCAAATGCAAGGGTGGGCAAGATACTGTATCTTCGAAATACATGTATCGGCGATACAGTATCTCCGATACATTTTGTAACTTGTAACTTGTATCTTGAGAATTATGAGTTACAAGTAACTTGTAACTTGTATCTTGAGCATATTTACTTTGAAAAGTATCTTGTAACTTGTATCTTGAGAATATATTTTGACTCAAGATACAAAGTTACTTTTTTAGTTATTTGCCTGACGAAACCAAATTTTGTTCCGTTGTGCATACCTCAATGGAGCAATTTCCAGTATGCTACGCACAATTAAATAGTGTTCATTTTAATTAGTCGCATAAAGACAGTTAATAGCTTAGTGATGCTGCATAAATATTTCGTTATGAGGGAACTAAACATTTATTAACGGCTGACAGCTTTACCGGAAACCTCTCTCTATACATATTTATGTATGTATGTATCTGTGTGTAATGTGCGTTTATAAATCATGGAGTGGTAAATATTTTGTGTGTGTTTTCGGATGTCGACACTTAATTTTTATGGCAAGGACAAATTCGTAGCTGACTATGTAGATAAAAGGTCATGACGACATGGTGACGAGGTCATCGGTGAATGCATTGAATTTTAATTTTTTGGATGTTTTCTACTAGGTTTATGCTTCGCTAGACGTGATTGTGCCACAGTGATACTTAAATCTGAAACCCTGACGGCAGTGCGTACAATGTCGATGGTCAAAACTTTAGTGTTGCGGTCAACACGGCAACAGATTATCGCTGCATTTACAATATAAAACTGTAAATTCTGCTGTCTAAGTTTTACATCACATAAATAACCTGTCAATTTAACAGTTAAAAAAATAACAGACTTTGTACGAAACTTTGAACCAGAAGTGTTAGAGATAAGTGATTGAATTCATGGGAGAAAGTTTTTAATTAGGGTCAATAATGCATAATAATTCAAAATGCTAAAATGAAGCATGGTGTCACAAAAACACCTTAGATTCCTTTTGTATCTTGACTTTGTATCTTCAAGATACATGTAATGTATCTTGGATGAAAAATTAAGTATCTTCGCTACAAGATCTTCGATCAAGATACAAGTTACAAGTATCTTGTAACTTGTATCTTGAGAATTAAAAGTATCTTATCTTTGTATCGTATCTCGAAACTTAATTTTGAGTATCTTGAAGAAAGTATCTTGAAGATACATTACCTTGTATCTTGCCCACCCTTGGGCAAATGACGCCCACCACCCCCGTGACCACTTCCAGCGAGATCCGCCACTGACCAGATCCTAGCTTTTGGAGGCAAATTTTCGGCTAACGACCAGATCTTGGGCTTGGAATTGGCGCAGTTCATCTTGGTCGTGTCAAGGTCTGACGGATCATGTTTTATCCTATTATTGTTGCTACCCGGAGAACTGGCTGGGGCGGTGGAGGAATTGTCATCATCTAATCAGGAAAATGGAATCAATTTTGTTACATAAGTTTATACATAGGTAGTCTTTTGTGTGTATCGATTGGAGCGAATTTAGCACTAGTTTTTATCATCATAAAGTCAAAATAAATAGCTTAATAATGATATCCCAATTGACAAAAATACAAATGCGCAACCCAAAGCCAGTCGCGCAAAGTGCAACATTTTGATTAAGCTCGGATTATGTAGAGTGATGTGCCTTTTCATTGCAGGATTCTGATAACACAATAATGCTCTGGTGTTGGGGATGACGACGATGATGATATTATGTGAGCATATAATAAATACATCGTATGCAAAAGTACGTGTCCGCACCATTGGGCGACTGCTTGACTGACACTGAAATGAGAGTCGAGTCTCGTCTCTGAAAGCAATCCTTATGAAAAGGGGGATCTCATAATAATCCGCCCTAGTCCTGTATGGCTAACCCTTACCCTTTATATTCCCCCAGCGCTATTACTCAACTTGACTAAGGTTGCAATCACATCTCGAGGATTTCCATTATTCACGTCGGTAGTTATTCCCCTCTTATTCTCAAATCTCAATATTCACTCACTCAACTTCTCCGAGTGAAGAGACGACAAATCAATTCACAATGCCCATTTATGCACTATTGATTCTTCTTCTTAAAAACTCACTGCCTCACTTTATCGCTCATCACACACACACAAGTGCATACACACTATGAACCTGATTTCAAATATTGACTTCGTCCAGCATTCTCAACATGATAGGAGATGGAATATCTAGTCACTAGTATTACGAAAGGGAGTAGATGAGCGTGGAAAGAATCGAAAACAAAAATGAAGACCATGGTAAAGTTATCATTGTTTTTGGTCACTTATACGCACGGCATATACGGAGCAAACTTGAGAGAGAAGTGCAATAATAAAATCGCATGGATCACTTACCATCGTCATCCTTGATGTCATCGTCGTCGTCCTCACTTTTATTGTTCTTTATAAAATTAAATTTTAGTCAGTAGTGTTTTTAAAGTTATGAATATTAGGTTTATCTTACTTTGGGCTCCCACGTCATCTTGTTCTCCTAACATTATAATAACGTCATGTTAGATGCAGTTTTTACGGATATGAAGGATCTACAATTTCTAAGACGTTACAAAATGAACCAACCTTTTTCAATCTGCGGCGAGCGTTGGCGAACCAAGTGCTGACCTGGGTGAGCGTCATCTTTGTGATTATAGCTAACATTATCTTCTCGCCTTTCGTGGGATAAGGGTTCTGCAGGGTGTAAAACATTGTTCAAAATATGGTTCTGGGAATATTCACATAATTACAAGTGACAATTACTTTAACCTTTCTATGCTCATTTAGCCAGGCTTTGAGGGTAGCTGTACTTTCGCGAGTTGCATTCTAAAAGAGGAAAATATTTTACATGTACAAAGATGCATTTTTGCAGGCATATGAATTTTACAGCTATTTAATTATTCTTATGAATAATACCTTTCGTCTAGCTGCAAGATCATAGCCACCTCCATATCTGAAATTTATATAAAAATTCATCTTTTAATTAATAGAAGCAAAAGTAATATAATTAATTTCTTATCTCTCTGGCTTTTGCTAATTAGTTGCTTTGTACAAATGTACAACACACATCAAGTCCTCAATTACCTTAATACCACATTTCTGCTCCATTCATTTCTATATTTTTTTAAATGCATTTGCATTTTTCATCATTATAACAGCCTTGTTCATCCTAATTAATTGTGTGTTGGACGAATGGGTGCAATGAACATTATACATGCTGATGATGATGATTATGGGAGTGCAGTTTAAGTGCACTCTCCATCTACTGCAGTGCAACCAGCATAACCACTTGGCACAAGTACCGTTTTAACTATATTTACTGTGCGAATTTTCTCATTAATTAAAACCAAACAACAAATTGCATCAATAATAATTGTAACAATCACAAATGCATTTGGTAAACCATCATCAGTGAGGAATTATTTTGTTAACGACAGGTTTATTTGAACAAGCGTTATTCACACCTTGTACATACGACCAGTGGTGGTGGTAGAAGGAGCAGCTTTATTTCATGCACTGTTAACAGCAGTTGGCTCACCTTCATAAAAATCGAGTGAGCATAAGAGGAGGTAGGTCAACGATTGATTTCCCTGATAATCTGATAGTTCCACCCATTCCTTTTTATATTTATTATTCAATTAGTGGATGGACGGTAGAAAAGCACGGTGTACGTAGAACTTGGTCTACTATTACTATTTACTACTTCTACTACCTATCTCAATGGAAAACGAGTTGGCAACAGCAAATGTACTACACATGTACGTACTCGTGTACTCTTCAGTTTTGCAGAAAGTCTCAGACAGAGTAAATCTGATTGAACAATTTGACAAGACAATAAAAATTGCATGTACATAAATATACTCGCATAATGCTAATCTATGTATGGGGCATGTGGTACAATTTTATGGCCATGTATACAAGCCTTCATTCTGCGATTACCAATTAAACCCCTTGAGTAAATTCATAATGTCTTGTCAACTTATTCTCTGAATCCCAACTACATAGTTCCGGACTGGGAGACCAAGTTCGGCGTGATGTTCATACATATGCAGCAAATGTAGGAAAAGATGACATGGGCGACAAAAACCCTTTGATTCTCCATCCCCCTGCTGTGACCTCGACTTGGCATCACTCCCCTTAATGCATTTCCTGCAAACCCGCATCCGTTGGTTACCCGGCCATTTCCGATTTGACAATCCCCCCAATTTTATGGCCATCGCCTAAGTATAAATATTATGAACTGCTTTTACTGTCGCGAGAGAGAGAGAAAGAGACGACATAACGAAGGCAATAAAGTGGTGGTCTGCTGCATTGTGTGGCCTTGGTTGGAGGGTGCTGTTGAATAATAACTAAATCCAAGTGCAGTGGCGATATGGTAGAGCTGTGATCAATCTAATTGTGAAACTATTCAACCAAACCACGATAACTTATTGTATATTTAGTGGGTAAAAAGTGGGTAAAAAGCTGGCTCCTATACTGCTTCTTGCTCTGCCTACTTTGCTGTAAACGTTGATTTCATGCCAAAAATAATTCTTTGATTCGACACGGCTCCATCCTCCTCTGGTTGAGTTCACTCTGCTTGCTCATTATCAAAATATCCATCCCTATCAGATTTTACATCATCAGCTCTCCCATCTACGAAATCTAATTCGATGAAACAGACATGCAGCTTTGCCAAGTTTGCCAAGAACATCACAAACTACGGGAATCATGATGAGTATTAAGTTGTTGGAACAGATTTTATGTTTGTTCAGCTAATTTGTGACTTATGATCAATTTAAACAATTCTGACGGATATTATTATCTTGAGATTTATATGCAACAAGGACATTATTTACGAGCATGATCACTACTACATCACGTCAACGGAGCGATGCCCTCTCATAAGCGATGGAAAGGGTTTGGATTGTACAATCAAACGACCGAGACAGCAGAAAAAAGCATGGAATTGGATTTTGGGCGAGTATTGGGGGGTAAGAAGAAGTATGCTCACATACATATGTATAAACTCCACGTGAAGAAAAGAGGTCCCGGTGAGAAACCCATTGTGTCCTGATCTTGGCCACTAATTTAATTACAAATTCAAGAAAAAGAGGAAAGAGAAACGGATCTTCTTTTCTCCTCGCTTTACAGAGTTTACCATGTAATACATACACAGATAAGTGCAGCGAGGTCTTGGGAGGAGGAGGCTGCACGCAGAAGTGGGGTCTCATCACCGTCGCCAGTATGGATTATTGAGGCTGACATCGAGGTTAAGTAAATTGTTGGCCTGTGGTTTATGTAAGGGTACGAGTGTGGTGATGGAGTACTTAAGTCGAAGGCTAATGAATGGGGCAGTGGGGGTAGATCGGTGTCATAATAAATCAGAAGTGGCAGTGGCAGAGGTTGCCTAATCTAATTTGGGAAGCCAGTGTGTGGGATCATGAAATTTCATGGGGCCAGTATGTGGTCAGAGGAGCAGATACACGTCGAGAGAAATATAAGAACTACGTATGTGGGAGTAGTAATAAGTAGACGACTGACCCGTATGCTGCGAAGGTTTCGTATGGAGGGTAGTAGCCATTGGACCAGCATGACACGTCGCCAGTTCCGCTGGTTTCCTTCAAGCCTGCATAGGCCCCACCCTAACAAACAAATCCATTATCAGCACACAGATTCCATTCACGAATTACATATCTCTTACATCTAATAAAACCAAAAACACCAAGCATCCATTGCGTCTGGCTGTGGTCTCTCTCTTTAAAGCGAGCTCGTGTATCTCTACGTCTCATTGTTCTCCGTCTCATTTAAAATACTAATCTTGTGTCCCAGCACTTTCTTCAGACATTCACTTCGGCCAACAAACAAGAGCCAATTCCTATTTATTCTCGCTGTATTAATGCCCACTCACAAGGGAACCTTAAGTACTGTCCCATCTCGATTTCCGAGATCTCGAGGTATACAATTTAGAAACTTCATTTCATTCATCATTCCGAAGTCTGTTTTCTATGTTAAAAGCATTGAAAAAATGACACGTTCTGGAGCAGCTCTCGCCAAATATTTCGCGACAACGTGATTTTGCACCGTATGTTCTATGACAAAGTTTCCGTTACACTAAATTATCTATCAAATAAGACTATCCGAAAGGAAATCGAGATGGGACAGTACTTAAGGTGCCCTTGCTAGCTATAAATAATAGCGAGTATGTAGAGAGAGTCATGCATGCAACTGCATACCTGCGTGTCACATATCCTACGTAAAAATACTAACTGACTTGTAAAAATTAACTGTTCATGTCTGGTGCACGAACTCTTACAAAAATCCAACATCGTTCTGTGCAACCTATGATTACGGAGAATGTATTTTTCCAATAAATTTTTAAAAACATACGCAAGATCAAGGGGGCAGATGAGTCTCTATTTAATTTAGAGCAGATCAGCATCTACATAAATATTCTATTGCAGTCCCCCGTCATCTCATCTCATCATGTTATCATGCAGCTCGTGATAATGTTGCAAAGATTATTACCGTTATTTTATCCTTCACTCAAATCTCATCACGCTGAATTATTTCCTTCAAATTTATTGTCATTCAAAACACGCTTATTGGAAGGACGACGACCACGTATCGCGAAAACATCGACTCAATATAAACTAATACAAATTCCAATTGGCTTTGAGATTTATGAACTCATTCTACTTATTTCTCTGTCATGTGCTGACATAGAATGTGCACTACACAAATCATTGAGTTTCACAGTCCCCTTCCTACTTACTTGCTTGCTTACTTTGTATATGTACATATATTTGTTCTGAAATATTAATTTCATGGCTCAGTGACCAGTAATACGGGATAGATTTACGCTAGAATGATCTCAATGGCCAATTCTAATACTTCTTGTGCTTACTTTGGCTAGAAAATGATTATGGATTTATTGATATCATTTATTTATGTCCTCACTCGCTAATTCTCTCTCTTTCGCTGATTACTACACTTCCAGACGCAAAGGCATAGCTTGGGATAATAGTGCAATATATTATCATGTTTGATAACTTACCAAGGGTGAGTAAAAGGCAGAAGACTCGAGGGTTTGGTAGGGATTCTGCTCTGTTGGAGGGTATGGTGAGGGTCCGTAGGGGCTGATTCGTGGGTAGGAGGACAGCGTCAGTCGGGACGGGTCATATTGGCATGAACACACCTAACACACAAACATATATATGAGAAATTGCATGTTAAAAACAGCCATAATTACCCACAAATTGTAAACCGCAAATACTTACCTGGTGACCCGTGACGGGGTCAGTGACCAGAGGGCGACCTCCTTCGCAACACGTCATTGCGGGGGACGAGGCGATTCCGGTGGGAGACGTCGAAGGCGACGACGCACTCATCCCTCCCCCACCTCCTCCTCCGGACGAGGAGTTTGGAGATCCCAGCAACTAATCAGCGCCAAGCAAACAAAGACCAACAAGTTAGTGACAAGTCTGCTTGATGGGGAAACTATCAAATCAAAGGATCCAATCAAATATGTATACTTGTTCTTCTCTACAAATAAACAATAAAAGTGATGAATGCTGTGCAGACAAGCTGGTCATCCAGATCCAATAAGCAAACAAATATCGAGAGATAATGGTAAATTAATAAGCCAAATGTGTGTACTCTCGCTCACTCGGTCGCATTATCTTAGAGTGACAGCAGGACATGTCAGGCAAGTAAGCAAGCAAAGCAAAGTTTGTGTCGTAGAGAGACGTGTTAGTGGACAATGTAAATAGAGCATTAATTTACTCAAATTGTTTTATCATCAACAGCGTTCATTTGCACGCAAGAAGAATTTCAAATAAACCAAATATTAGTTTACACATCACTCGACGAAACCCAATTTCTCACAAACCGTGCATAAGGACATAAGGGCGACGTATGTATGTGTGTACATTATCCATATATATTTAACTCCATGGCTGATCGACTTATTATTACGTACATAGTAATACATACATGCTACTGTACTGGCGTGTCATGTAGTCATAAATCATGCAGGATACAAGCATCATCATCAAGAGATTAAAAGTGTTTACTTGTGGCTTAAATAATTCAACAAAACTACCAAATATTCCCCACTCTCCTGGAATGGAGTGATTAAAGTGTGATTATGGGACAATGTTTTGGACATTATGTGTCGAATGTAATAATAATATGTAATAATAACGTGATGAACCTTGTCAATATGGAGCTTCATCAATTATTCAAGAGTGTCAAAATATTAATCCTAGTGTCGCCTCAGAATGTATGCCTTGATAAGCAGGCAAACCAAATAATACATACAGCAGCAAACAACGGAAGAATGATGTGTACGTAGTGACCCACTACACGCAATAATTATCCACTTGGACATGCAATTCAAAAACAATGTCATGTAATAATCATCTTAATAGTAACTACTCTGCTTACAACAACATTAATAATGGCAGCAAGCTCATTACTTTAAGTCATACAATCAGCGGCAGGATGATGATGACTATTTACGAGGATGTCTCAATAAGCTACATATCATGCCCTTGCTAATAATCTAGGAATAATTAAGTACAGATAGCACGACTAATTTTAAACTATGTACGCAAATTAAGAATTTTCTCCTTGATAACCGATAAGCCCGTATCATCAGAAATCTACTACTCTACTACATGTACGAATCAATAGAAAGACTTGTAGTATTTACAATTTTTTATAAGCCGGCCAACAGATCCTCCAGATCCAGAAACGTCGTGGTGGTTATGGTCGATGGTAGTTTAATGCTTTATTAGATGGGGATTTCAAACAAGGCGTTGTTGCCAGTTTTTTGTCCAGTCATCGGGTTTTATTAAAATTTATGTTGCTTATTCTTGAACAGGTTGATTCGAATGTACACTTGGTGCGGTGTTAAACAAGTGCAGGGTTGTATTTGGATGACTAAATATAACTCAATAATTTCTAAATTCGCTATATTTTGTCTACACAGCGATAGTGTGGATGCAGTGTGGTAATTTGAATTATAGCGTTATTTTAAGTTTATGTATGCGTTCCCACGACATGGATAAATGCGTGCGGTGGTGCTTCTTTCTTACAAAGCGACAACTGTAAGTACGTAATTGTAGATAAGTCAATGCACACGTTGCGGAGCAAATTAGTTTTTATTTTTAATTTGGTGAAAATTTATTGGAATAAGTGATTAAGTTCTGTTAGCGATTTAGGAGAGTTCCCGTTGGATGATCACTGTGCAAGAAAAATTGTGGCGTTAGAAAGATATCTGTAATGATTCTAGTGTCTAAATAGGTAGGTATGCAAGTCATTAAGAAAAAGCAGGAAAATTGAGACAGGACAGGACTATCTTCGTAAAATGGGTCTAATCTCATAGTTGGTTATTTGGGGTGAATTTTGGAATGGAGGGAAAGCTGAGACTGAGCATAAGTAAGATCGAGTTACACATACATAGTTTATGTGGGTTGGATATTGCATGAGTTGTAAAACCAGTATCACGATCTATGAATGTGTGAAAAATGATAGTTTCCTGCGATTCCAAAATTGTGGGGCTTAGGGAAAACGTTGTTCTTGGACGTCATGCAATATTTTTTACAATGATAGAGTGATTTAAACAGAGAAGAGGACATTGTCCCAGTGGCTGAAGTAGTAATTAGTCTTGTCGATACAGGATTGTATAATTACTTAATTTTACTACTACAAAGTGGCAAAGCTCCTACAAAGTAGGAATTTCTGGTATTACCTGATTGTTATTGAAGGCTGTTGGATTGGGATGATGAGGAAGCGAAGATGCCGAAACCGGTGGACCAGTCGGTGGCGAGTATCCGAAGTACGCCATAGTTAAACTTATATAAAATTAAGAATCACACCGCAAGAACTCGAACTAATAACAATGATCAAGAGTTTAATTCTTGGTCTTGTTCCAAGTGTGGACTCTTGACTACAATGATTGCCGGAGATGATGACGATGAGAAGTAATTGTAGTAATAGTAGTAAAGTAAAACTGGCTGAGAAGGAGTTCACCACACCACTTCTGCTTCTGCGGCCTTATAATAACTGGCTGCTTTTGCATATGCCAATAATTTGGTTTGGTCAAGTCGGCTTGAGAGTGTGTATTGTGCGGAACAAGTGCTCTTCTCGGTATTAAGTGGTGCAACGTGTGTAAAGTTTAAATGTGCTCTGCTCGTGGTGGTTGGTGTTGAATTGTTCTCCTCAGGTGTAGGAATGGATTGAAACTAGTTGTACACGAATGGTGTGTGTATGTGATTAGCTTGGCTTTGGATGAGCACTTGTACTTCATCCGAAAGTAAAGCAGGCAGGACGTCCAAGTAAAGTGGTTCTTGTCGGCGTTCGATGTTGGTTGGCGTTGGATGAAAGCACAGAAGGAACGCAAACGCTGACTCTGTGGGGCTGAACTTGCAGCCCAAGTTTTGAAACCTCCCTTTTCTCTCTATTTGGAGCCAATAGGTGGTCCCAAATAGATTCTTGAATGCGGATTGGTCGCGAGGACAGCTTGTTCGTACTTTGTCTTGGGGCCATGTCCGACACCAAGTTTCTACATGCTGTCCTATCAGCCATTGGATTATGCTAATCCCTCAAGACACGATTTCCCTTTTTATACACATTAATTACCTCATATGTACGACTATTAACCCCGCACCCTTATTTCTTCTCTTACCAGCCAAAGAATCCCATTCTATTCTAATCTCGAGAATAATTATCAATACAATACTTACCCACCCACATCAACACATGTCCTACACTTGTACACAATCCTGCCTGACCCCAGAACACTCTCCTATCTGGCCATACATACTCCCAATTTATCCACTAATTATCATAATGCCATCCCCATTAACAGACTCTTTATTGCCAATCTATATCATTATTGCAGCCACCTCGTACATACGTTCGTACATATAACCAACAAACTGCTTTCTACACTTACTTGCTTATTACCGGTCATCATCGACGTCGTCGTCACCTTCTTTGGATTTGGACCACTGCGTCGTCAAATCAAACAAACCACTATATACTCCAGTGGAGCTACTAAAAAGCTGGCTGTGCAATCTCGTTTCGCTATAAGCTAATGAGGATGCTTGTAACTTTGGAGGTAAACCAGATGAGCGTTATCTCAACACTTTTAAATGCCGTTAACATTCTTTATATCTCAACATTGATGACCGTGTTAGGACTCCTGTGTATAATTAATGGAGCAGAATTAACAAGTACACACAAGTTGGCATTACAACATTCCCACAAAGGCGATGTGCAGCGTGCAGCGTGGGTGAATTGCCATAATCAGCAGACAAATGCCAAGAATTTTTAGTTTGTTAGAAAACGGGTGTAATAATTAGCTAACTTGTAGATAAAATTATTAGCGATGAGGAAAAATGACACGAAATAGGTAGAAGTCTGCGGAAATTAATGCGATTTATTCTGCAAAAGATCCATTTACTTCCTCTAAAACTAAACCATTGCATGCATGCAAGAAAATTTGGACAATAAGTTAGTAAATAAAGAAATTGCATTTCCTCAGCACCAATAAATTCCCGTGCATTTGTTTTGTTGACAGTTCCTAAAAGTCCCAAAGGTTGTTTCAGTCCTGTTAGCTCAATCTCGGCATTCAATTTGGGATACGCATAGTCAACATCATCCGTTTGCTTCGCAGTATCAATAGCTCCATTTTGTTCTGAGCATGATCTATGTACATATGTATTGGATATAAAAACTTTTTCGAGCGTTTTTTCAAGCACTTTATCGAGCAATATATATGTGCATACATATTGATACGTATGAAATCACGAATTCTAGCAAAAAATGGCCCATTTGTTCAGGACTGTAATAGCTTTAATTGGAAATATCGACTGGATGTGGTGTAAAATGTGAGAATGACGGTGATATTACACATTTTCGGATTAAATATAATTGCTTCGAGGTATCAATAAAAGTTGACAGATCTTTTATTTCGATGTCTCACACTTCCCGATTCAACCTGAACTATTTGCCAACATCCTGGGTGACACGATCTTTTCTCTGGCGTGACACGAGAAATATCTCTCCAATTCCGTGGCTCATGGCTTTTAAGCCAGCATTATTGTGTTGCGCCATTGAGCGAGTGAATGTGTCGCTCTTTCTTCTTTCACGGAATCTCGAGCAACACAAAGATGAAAGTTTAAGCCAAGTCAGCAAGACTAAAAGTCTTTTACCCCAACCGGATTGTACTTATTGTGAGCTTTCTCTCGCCCCATTCTTACCCTGTCCAGTTTGGATACTAGCAAGTGCATCCTTTACTCTTACTAGTGTAGCAGAAAGTATATATCAGTAATTGCACACATATTTATGTGCATTTATATACATTATGTATATTTACATATTTATGTATTATTTAGTTATTTAGTTACTTGCCGGAACAAATTTCATCAGTACAATTCGCAAGCATTTCTGCACGTTTCCTCGTAAAAATCACAGTGAGAAATCCATGCAGTATGCACTAACTGATTGGAACCAGGATACTGTGAAACTGTGAAATGCGAACCTGTACTTGTAGCGAGAGGACGAGGGAGAGGATGATCGGGGAGTGAGTGTGAGAAGAAGGCCCAGATGCTTTCACTCACATCTTTTGACTTTTCTTCCTTGATTTTCTGCTCACTGAGTCCACGAAATAAGTGACTGGAAATCTCCCTCTCTCTCCATTTCCGTCTCCCCCTCTCTTTCTCTCTCTTTATTAAAACAGAGTGGATCGAACCACTTACGCCACCGCCGCCACGCCAGCAGAACCTCCGCAATTCCACACCACTCTCTTCCTCCAAAACACCAAGGATCATGATGATGACGACGATGATTATGTTCGGGTTATACTACACACTTTCTCGGAGGAGAGAAAATCCGATTTCAGTCGTGTCAGTCATTTTCAATCCAATCCCCTCATAAAATACGATTGATGCAGCACAAAATAAATCCTTTCCGTCTTACTTTTTCATCGCGGTCGTAATTCTACTCAAATTCATATTTGCTTTACAGAGCGATTTTTTATTGTGGTGCAATTTCTTTGAAATGATTGGAGCTTTATATTGAGCATGCTTACGAACGAATCATTTGTGACTTGGAGGAAGAATAAAATATATCCGATTCATAAAATATATGTCTTGTACATATTATATTCTCTGCTGAATCAATTTTACTCATTCGTCTTGTCATATGAATAAAATTTACTTTTCCCAGCGATTTTATTCCTTTCGGACAATCCATTAAAATTAAAATGAAGCATTAAAATTTTAATGTGCAAATATAATATAATCAGCCATGTTCTGTTTAGTAATTCAATTGGACGATCGCATAATAAAATTCAATTGCATTGTTTAATTTTATGCAAAAGGTGCCAACTCGCTGCCATTTTTCATGCTACATACTTGTGCACTCAGGGCATATTGTAAAACACATGAAATCCGTGTTTTTATAACTTGTCTTACTATGCAATGCTAAATGCTTTCCAATGTAATTACAAGACAAGAACATAATTTCTTATTCTCAAGAGAGAGAGAGAGATGTACTTTATGTATTATTGCTCACGGTCATAATCTCCTCTTGCGAGTTTAGTGCTTTACATATGTATGTACACAGCATGAAAGAGACAGGGAGTTAGTTAGTTGGCCAGTATGCAATAAAAGTATAATAGCGCGATAAATTATTGAACACAACAATTTCCGCTTAATCATTATTAGTTTCTTCTAATAAGTACTTTAAAGGTTGAGATTGTAAATTGCACATCAACTTTAAAATAATGTCAATGAAGCAAATTAATTACATGCTGTTCAAATATGTGTAGATGAAGGGACCAAGAAAAATTGAACCCTACGAATATGTAAGTGCTCACTTGAAGTAAGTTTATGCTGATGACGAACCTTATCAATTTAGGAATTCAAAAATCCCCTTCATTTTATACATATATGAAAATACTAGAAACTGCCGCTGGGAGACGACACGCCTTTGGCCTGGTTGGCGTTTGGTAGATTTCAAATAATATAATAATTAGCCAAATGGTTGGTGAACAGGAATAAGGTGGATGCATGTAGGAGCAGGGACCACAAGAAAGAGTGAAATGTTGGTAATTAACGCAGCCATAAATTCCAACTAGAATGGATTTTACTCCCCCCTTTCCATGTTGAATTTTCTTTATGAAAGAGGAAAAATTACGCTGTTCATTGTGCTATTGTTTTTGGTTTTGGGGCATTTTTTTATCAAATTTAAATGCGAGAAATTCTGTCTGTACACAAAACAAGGAGCAGATATACCCTCCTTCATTTGCCTTCAGTATCTCGTAAATCATATTAATATCATTCACCCAGAATTCATCACCATCATTGAAATGCAGAGCAGAGAAGTGGAGACGACTTCTCCTAAATTGAAGACTTTACGATAACAACAGCAGCAACAACACAACTGGATTTTTCGGCAGCATCATTGTAATTTCATTAGTTGGAAAATCTGTCCCCTCCAATTCTCTTGCGACTTGAAGACCATTAAAGATTCTTTAAAACAGGGTGAATTTACATTTTTAGGGTTTTATCGACTTTCCTCTCATTTTAATACCTTTGTAGCTAATCATGTGCAAAAGAGCCGCTCAGTGCATCCACAACGAATTGCATATTCAGGCAAAATTACAAAACCATTTGCAATTTTAATTTACACACATATTTACTTGCAAATTTTTCTTTACAACTCAACGGTTTTCATTGAACTTTTATTATCAATTCATTGAACGGTTTTTTTGGTTCGACTTTGTCATTTAGTTTAAACGTAAATCATTGATTGACTGAATAGTCTCTAAATAAAAAGCTTACACATCTCTCAAGAGTAAGCTAATGTAATTATACTAAAAGTGAAATAAATCCGTCACCCGTAATGTCGTTGATGCTGGTGCTGATACCATGTGCACATATTCAAAGCTGGAAAGTCGATATAACATAACGACCCTTTTTCTGGCTCGGAGAAGGACTAATATTTATTCAAAAGCTAGACTCGTTTCTGATCAACATAATTAAACGGTTTAAAAATGTAGATAAACGATCCATTAGTTGTATTAAAAGTGATCCAAGTGGCAAACAAGACCACGCTGGATTTGTTTTGTTGTCCAAATTGGCTCGTATATTGCATTAGTTTGGGTGGAAGGGGTCCACAATTACTTAATTTGATGGCTTCATGGTTCGATTACCATGGATGATGGCACTGGCTGCAGGAGGCGTGAGACATGGTGAAAGTATGACTCTTTAATGGAAATCAGGTTTTTCAAATTAAACCACGATTAAATATATTCTAAACCATTGATAGAATTGATGTTGCTGCGGA